AGGAATGACCTGATTTAGAAATGTATTATGCACTGCTTAAATGCTTGTGGATGCAACATTAAATACATATCAGCAATATTTTTTATGAACACTTACTGTCCACAGAAGTAGTTTGCATGAGGAGAATAAAGGAAATTAAGTGTTATGGTTCAGTTTCATCTCCTTATGTGGTAAAATTGGCTTTAGAATTTTTGGAGGCACCAGAGTCATTTTTGTTCATTTCCTGGGGACTTCATATTTGCAAAATTGAGCATGACAGAAACAGTTAAAATTTGGACTCATGTCCCCTAAGTAGGACTGGTGTGATTTTGTAAGAGGTAAATGTTGTGAAACATCTTGGTTCTCTTAGTTACAAAATAAAGGGATAAAAAGATAATGAATGGATGTGGACAAAAAAGGATTTGACGTATGAAGCATTCTTTATTTGATGCAACAAAACACAAACTTTGTCCAATTTACTGGATTACAGTAAGAAGGAAGTATGTATTGGAACAGATCAAAAGCTTTCTCATGGGGAGCATTTTTTAATCAAAAAAAAAAAAAAGTGCCACTGTGCTTTGGCCAAAGCAGTCTATGGGAAGCCCATCAAATCCCTTGACAGAACTGGAAGCCCACTGGGGCCACTTGGCTGGCATGCAGATGGCCGCTGCTCCCAAAAAATCACTCCAAGTTGCCTGTCTGTCCATCAGGTTAAGGAAAGAGTTCTGCTGGTTTCTTAAAGTGGAGTCGTATCACTTTTATGGTGCAAGACTTTTCCCATTGGAGTGTGAGAAGAGAATGGGGAGGAAGAAAGGTTTAGATGTGCGTTCTTTGCTGGGTGAGATTTCTGCTTTGCTGCAGTCTGTGGTGTGGACTGAAGGAGGGGGCTGAAGGGCTACATGCACAGATGGTGATGGACCGCGCTGTTCCAGCCTGGGAAAATGATTAATCAGTACTAGAGAGATCTATTCAAGTACCTAGTTCTTTAGCCTTCTGTTTCTTTGCTCATGAGCGCTATAAGAGAATGTTCTAAATGTTATGCTGACTCAGGATCCTGATGGTTTTAAGAGTAATTAAAACACTGTTTTCTAGCTAGATCTTCTTGTAAATGGCAGTGAAGAGAACAAATGTTCTGGCTATGATTCTGACTGCAAGATGCCTAAATATGGTTCAGAATTTAATGAAAGGAACTTGGGACAGTGATACTGAGGAGCGGTGAATGATAAGCAAGGGAAATAGTTAATGCACGTTTTCATCATCATCCTATTGCACTTGCTTGGTTGTGGGCAACTTTTATGCTTTCTGAATTTTGGTAGCTTACCTTTCTGATCTTAATGATCTCTTAAAAGGAAGTCTGTAATGTCATAATCTTATTTTCAACTCAAATGAATAAAAAGCTGCTTGAGGTGGTATTATTTACACCAGTGTAATTTATTGATAGAGTTGGAGCTCTTCAAGTTCCTGATGCAGCCCTTTGTTTCCTCAGGTGCTGTAGCATGCTGTTCTCAATATGGGATGGTTTTTATTTCCTTCAGTGCTGGAGGAGGAAAATGTCTTCTAATGAGCAGAAGATTCCTTCCCTGTTTCTCTTCTTCGTTTCTTTAATGTTAGTTGTCCTTCTGCTGCTTGGTTTTTCCTCCTTGTCCTGCTCCAGTTCCTTACCCAGGTCTGCATTTTCCTACCCTGGTTTCTTCTTACACTTATTAAAATCTTTGAGGTTCTCTGCCTAAGCTAGAGTTCCCCCCCTCACCCTCTCTCCTCCCCCCTCCCCTTGGTTGTTTCTAATGCTTCTTGTAGGCAGCCTTTTATTTGTTTGCCACTGAACTTTTTTTTTTTTTTCTTAATCACATCATGAAAGCTGCTGCTTCTATATGTGCTCTCAGTGTTTCCCCAGCTGTTTCAACCAGCTTTTCCCTACATAGCTGTTAATCTTATTTTTGTTGCTCTCCTTCTCCTTCATTAAGTCATTCAGTCTATTTTCCTTCCATCCTACTTAGTTCTTTCCTACCAATCTACTGATGCCAATCCCATCTCCCACTTTATACGTGCTTTTTCCGGCCAGTTGTCCTGCCTCCCTTCTTCCATTTTTCCGTCATGATCAGTTGCTTTCTATGAATGCTGCATGCATTCATAGAATCATAGAATGGCCTGGGTTGAAAAGGACCACAATGATCATCTACCCCAGGGGGTTTCAACCCCCTGCTATGTGCAGGTCACCAACCAGCAGACCAGGCTGCCCAGAGCCACATCCAGCCTGACCTTGAATGCCTCCAGGGATGGGGCATCCACAGCCTCCTTGGACAACCTGTTCCAGTGCGTCACCACCCTCTGTGTGGAAAAACTTCCTCCTGATATCTAACCTAAGCCTCTTCTGTCTCCCCATTGCACCTTGTCCTATCACTGTCCACCCTTGTAAACAGATTCCCCCTTTTCTCTTAGTCGATCTGTCACCCTTCTCTGTATTTGTTTTTCTTCTTTGACTGCTGTGGATATTTGTGGTGAAATAAGTGCGGGTGCTGGAAAGATAAACTTGAAGTTTCTGTGGAACTTCTACCTCAATCCAGAAAGACCCATATTTGCAGGGAAAGTATCCCTGAGCTGAAGAGCACTCCTTTGTTCAGTGGAGATGGTTCTTGGTTGGTGCTGTTGTGTGGATGGCTGGAGCGTGCATCTGAAATCCTCTGAGATTTTTGTGAAGAATGTTTACTCTCTATTTGTAAATATGTATGTTGGAAGCAGGGAGAAATACGTTACAAGCAGTTAGTTTCAGTGTGAACAGTTAAGTTGGTGGAGATGTCAGTCCTAGTCCTCTGTTGGTTAAAATGAAAAAATTGTTGACAAAACTGACAGTAATAGCTGCTCCCAGGCTCAGTTATGTTGGTGCTTAGTAACATCCACGGGTACTTTATGCTGGAGAAGTGACCCACTTCTGCAAGTGGCTGAAAGCCATAATGTTAATTTATAGGATGGGATGGAGTTGTCTATATTATGTCTTAATGCGTGGTTTTATTAATGGTCTGCATAAAGCAAAGTCAGTTGAGGTTGAATATCAAAATGATGAAGCAGTGTGTTGTAGGATGGTTTTTCCAATGGCTTGGTAGAAAATTTGCTTTAAATATTTACATGTTGATCATACAGAAGGCCCAAATACCATGTAAGAATGACTGTCATTAATGGGAGGAAGAATGGGAAGCAAAATATTCCTTTAAGTTGTCTGTTCTGAGAAAGCGTTTGTTTGAGTTCTAAGGATGCAATATATCGCATAACTCAAATGGTATTCACAAAGCTACTGGAAATAGACTGCTGCTCTTCACTGTCATCCTTAAGTAGGACATATGGTACCTAAATACTCATGGAAATTGAAGTGCAAGGAGCAGAAACTCGGCTCTGATCCAAAGCCAGCTGAATCTGATTAAGAGCCTTCTTTTGGCTACCAAGGCTCTGGCTAAGACTTCTCTAAGCTATAATTGAGTCTCAGGTGTTCAGGCAGACTTTTTTGATTTGTCGGATCTTTGGGCTTTTCTGTGCTTCAGGTATGTCACACTGTGCATGAGTTTAGGAAAGGCTATAGGATGTGTGTGAACTGAAGTGTTACTTTCAGTTTATAGTTTTAGAGATGGTAACTGGGTAATACGTGACAACTTAACTAGTTAATCACCTGATTATGTATTGCTCTGTTTTTATGGCTTGATGATATATAATGTTAATCAGACAAGTGCTTAGAAATAACGTACCCAATTCCTATAAAAGATTCTTACAACTAAGAATAGAGACAAGAAAAAATACCTTTGCTTTGCATAGTTTCCACTTCTTTGTTTGGCCAGCGGTATTGCGCGTCTCATCCACCCACTATTTTCAAATAGTGAAACGGAAGAGAGGAATGCTTTTCTTCAAGTAGAATCATAGAATCACCAAGGTTGGAAAAGTCCTCCACGATCATCCAGTCCAACTATCCACCTATCACCAACATTTCCCACTAAATCATGTTCCTCAGTACAACATTTAAGCATTTCTTGTACACCTCCAGCAATGCTGACTCCACCACTTTCCTGGGCAGTCCATTCCAGCACCTGACTGCTCTTATGGAGAACAGGTTTTTCCTGATGTCCAACCTGAACATCTCTTTTGCTCTCACCCTCATCATCACACAGCAGAAGAGGCCGACCCCCTCACTGCAACCTCCCTTCAGATCGTTGTAGAGAGCTATAAGGTCTCCCCTGAGCCTCCTCTTCTCCAGACTAAATAAACCCAGTTCACTCAGCCACTCCCCATCAGACTTGTGTTCCAGACCCCTCACAGCTCTGTTGGCCATCTTTGAACATGCTTCAGGGCTTCGATGTCTTTCTTGCAGTGAGGCACCCAAAACTGAACACAGCACTCAAGGTGCAACCACGCCAGTGCTGAGTGTGGAGGGAGGGTCACTTCCTTGCTCCTGGTGGCAACGCTGGGAATAATGAAGGAAAAGAAACAGGAGATATCTGTAGAGTTGCAAATACAGAGGTATTGGTCTGCCTATCTTGGGTGATAGCTTTATCTTATTTGCATGGTTATCTTCTTTTTTAAAAATAGAATGTTTGCATCTCATAATGTTTTTTTGGAGAGCAGTCCAAGCTGTTAGTTCTTTCACTTTAACTCCCCTTTGGCATGTTGCCCTACTTAATCTTGCAGCTTGGCCTGAATTTTTTCATACATATACATAGTTAGTTATTAGCTGTCTGTGTGCTGTCTTCCACTTTCTTCAAGGTAAAGAGAGTTGGAAGGTCACCTTTTAGAGCTGGGTCAAGGTTTCATTCAAAGCAGTAGTAGAAATACAGGGTTTGTTTTCTCTTCTGGCTGAGCTAGATTGTTTATATACTCGTCACCAGTAAAACAGTATGAAAAAGGTTGAGAAATTCTTACCTAACGTTCTGTAAAACATAATAAAAGTCGATTCTAGCACTTGAGCATCAAAATGTTTGCATCAGTTTAAGGAAAGAAGTTGGAATTTGTTTTAATTCCTTTCTTATTTATTCGGCATGTAGGTTCCGGCAAGATGTGGGGTGACAGTCCGAGACAGCCTGAAGAAAGCTCTGATGATGAGAGGTCTTATTCCAGAATGCTGCGCTGTTTACAGAATACAGGATGGGTATGGTTTGTGTGTGGTGGTTCTTGCTCTTAAAATTCCTTGGTGGAGTTATCCAGCACGGCCGCTTCTCTCCAACTTCATTGAAGCTGTTTTCAGAGTTGAGAATTATATGATGCTTTGCAGTAAAATAATTTGTACCTTATGAACATGTCTGAAAAGAATGACAAACTCCTAGAAAATGATTTAATTCCTTCAAGGCTAGGTGTAATACAGTGTAATGTGGCAAAACTCCAATTTGTGCTAGCTGAACAAGTATAAAATAGGTTTTGTAAAGTTTTTTGTTTTCTATGACCTGGTCATGTGTAACCTTAAATGAATGTAGAGTTTCCACGAAAAAATACACATTCAGTTCCCAAACCTAAAAAGTTAGTGGATTGTTTTACTGTGCAAAATTAGCAATCACTTCAGAACAGGTGGTTTCACACACACTTCATTTGATAAGAAAGGTATGTCACCCTGGAATTAGGTCAGCCACTACTGAACGTAGCTGGAAAAAGAAGTGAACTTCTTTTATGATCTTTGTCCAGGGAAGATACGCTTTGCTTGGTACATGCTGAACTTAGTGTCTGGTCTTTAAAATTTCCTGCAGTTAGAGAATGGGTAGTAAACTTCCAAAGACCTGCAGGGATTTGTGTGCTAATGACAGCCTTATTTATGCTTCAGAGAGAAGAAGCCAATTGGCTGGGACACTGACATTTCCTGGCTAACCGGAGAGGAGTTGCATGTGGAGGTCTTGGAGAATGTGCCACTCACAACGCACAATTTTGTATGTACCATTTTTCAATGAAATGTTGACTTGAATTAAGTCAACTCAAAAACTTCTAGGTTTTTAATCACAATAGCTTGGGTTATGTAATTATAATTGTAATTGAAATAAATGCTGATAAAGGGTACTTGATATCCCTTAAAACTTTCAAATTGGGATGGAATATACCCTCTAAAATGTATAAATGTAGTGATTTTAAATCAGCACTGCATTGCAGAGCTGTAATAATAATCTACTATTTTCGTACTGCTGTATCTATAAAATGTATTCTGGGCTTCCCTGCTGACTCTGCAGCAGCAATTAACTAATGAACTAACTATTCCCAGAGCACTGCTGACATCACCAGTGATGCTAGTGCTCAAATATGTTTTGACCTGATAAGGCACCAAGTAAATAGAAGGTGCTAGACAGAATCCATCTACACCATTCTGGCTCCATACAAAATATTGAAAATAATGTTTTTCACGTTGATAAGACTGGCCTTTTATTTAAATAAAGAAGTGAGTAATCAAAACTCTATTTGTGCAAGCACCTTAAACTATTTTGCTCAAGTTTAACTTGGCTTTGGCTAGCTAGATTAAACTCTAGAACATGTAATATCTCTGAATATCCTTCTAAAATCTAGATTACATGTTTTAATATTTGTATGTACCATTATTCTAGTATATGTATGTATGAATGTTATATATTGAATATGTATATGTTAAATACTGCTAAATTTGAAAATGAAACTAAAGTGGTTTTTTTTTTTTCCTGTATTTTCTCCTTCTTGCAATTTTAAATGTTTTCAACAAGAAACAGTAGCTACAAGCCATCTGTGTCTTTCCAGTGCTGTAGATGTTAGATAGAAATGTTATTTGGCTCCTGGAAAAGTTAGAGGATAATCTTTCAGCAGTTTTTGTTGCTACAGGTTGTTTCCAGTTAAATTCTGAATGTTTGTCTCTAGCCTGATAATACAGTGTGTTTCTTCAGATTTGTTGCTGTTCTTCCTGGGGCTACTGACGTTTTAATTCCAAGAACATTTTAAATGCATGAAGATAATTTCAAAAAAGACAACTTTTTTGTTTTAACAGATAAAGTTTTAGTTTCATCATCATCAAAAAAAAAAAAGAGGTGTGTATTAGACTTACAGAAGGATTTTGTTTAATTACTGTTATTTTTGACAACATAGGTACGAAAAACATTCTTCACGTTAGCGTTCTGCGACTTCTGTCGAAAGCTGCTTTTCCAGGGATTCCGATGCCAGACGTGTGGCTACAAATTTCACCAGCGCTGTAGTACAGAAGTGCCACTGATGTGTGTTAACTATGACCAACTCGAGTAAGTCATCGCATTTTGCTTTCATGTTGAGCCGTTGATTCAGCTGATAGCTCTCCGTGATTTCTTATGTTAAATCTGTAATTCAGGAAGTCAGAAGAGGTGCCTGAAAATCTATAGGAGCTCAGCTGTTCTTGGGAGACTGCTTAATTCGTATTCTGTCAGTGCTGGTTCAGACAATCAGGTCATATATGTAAATTTTTTTGCTGGACTATGAAATGCTTTCTTTGAAGCATGAATAGAGTGGCTGAGCATTTGACTGTTTGAGACAGACTTCTCATTGTTCACAGATGTAATTCTTAATCAAAACTGGTTCTTTATTATGGGATGGCAAGGGCCTTGTTTAAATGTTTAGATACGGTTTTATTTTCTTCAATCTGACAAAAAATGTTGAGAGATGTGAATTTAACTTAGTCACATCACAATTGAATATAAATCCATATGCAAGTTTGCCTAAACAAGAAGCATAAAAGAACGTGCCCTGAACTTTCATGTGTTCTTGAATTGAATTATTGATTTGTATAAGCCTTTGACAAAGTCTGAGCAGAGGCCAATAAATGTTTTCATTTAAAGAATCACTTAAAATGCAAGTTTTTCCCTCAAATGTGTATTTAATTTTTTGCTTATGTTGATATTTACAGCTGTTTCCTTGGGCACCTTCATAAGGTGTGATCAAGACTTACGGATAACCTAGTTTATCCATACTTAAGGTTTGGTTGGTTGTTTTGGGGGTTTGGTTTTTTTTTTTTTTTGGCATTTGATTTTGACAATGCATCAATGCAAACATTCAAACTGGGACCTTTACTCAGTGTATAAGTTGCATGTTCTCAAGGAACCAGGTATTTCAAGAAAGAGATAAAAAATTACTTTCTGAAAATACATCCTTTGATCCTTTCTCTAGTAAATAATACTTATTAAATAAGTTTCAATGTAAGGTGTAAGCATAGACTTGATTGTTAAAAATTAGGATTTAATCAGTGCTGGATTTAAAAAAAATTTTCCAGTCTCTTGAGTGTTGTGGAATCTTCTGGGTTTTGCACAAGTTCGGTTGTTTTTGTTTTGTTTTTGCCTCACAGTTTGCTGTTTGTCTCCAAGTTCTTTGAACATCACCCCATATCGCAGGAGGAGACCACCTTAGGAGAGACCACCCCGGCATCAGGATCGTACCCCTCAGTGCCCCCATCAGATTCTGTTGGGTATGACCTTATTCCTGCTCTTTAATACCATAACATTTCAGTATTGTATGCTTAGAAACTTTCAAAATACTGCTCTGCGACCATCTCTGCATTTCCTCTGTGATCTGGCTTGTCGTGCAAATATGTCAACTTGTGCTTAACTTCAAAGAAGTAAATGTTTTCATTCACTTGAATGACGTATATTAATATACAGACTGAAATTGAGTGTTTAAGTGTAGAATTGGGGCCTTACCTGTTAAAGGGAATTCTTTTCTATGGTAGCACAGACCTGGTCTAAACTGGAAAGATTTTATTCTTCAAATCAGTGCAGACTAAAACGCTGTCTTTACAAATTTGTTTAGCTTTTGTAATGAAATGAAAATTTATTTGCCTTGAAGTGACAAACCTCTGTTTCAGAATAAGCCACAGCACTACAGCATTGATATGCATAGACGCCAAGTCAAGGTGCTTTTTGACATACACATAGCTTTAGTATTGTCCAGACCAGATGTCCTCCTATTTAGATGCTGGGATGTACCAAGAGTATCTGCTTGCAGATCCAGATTTTGTAAAATCAGACTTCTCGAATTGATTACAGCATCCATCCCCTGTATTCCCAATAAAGATTCTGGCAGTTTTCTTTGTGGAAAGGTAATGGATCATGTTTAGATTGTGATCCTAGTAATTAAGAGATCATTGACAACTAACATTGGAGAGTGGAACAAATCTCCAGGAAAGATGAATTCAAGGATGTGTATCAAAGTCAAGAATCGTGATGCAAATTTATTAAAGCACCAAAGATAAAAGCCTTCAGGAAAATGCTCCTAGGACATGTGGTACTCTGTGGAGATGAACTGAATTTGGCAGAGAAGCTATCTTGGAATGCTGTGCATTGTGCCTGACTAAAGCAGAAACACAGTTGGAAGCTGCACAAGCGCCTGAGGACTCCGATTGGAAGAAAAATTCCCTGAACAGCTGAGACTATTTTATGAAAGCTCAAATATGATACATGCCAGGAAATAGATTGACAACGCTGCAGAAGGAACTTCGTTTGGTAAGTAGAAAGAAAGACAGTATTCTTGTTTGTAATAAGTTGTGAAGTTTCAGAAAAACTTTGGAATTGCCTCTTCTGTATAGTGAATATTGTTCTTATATACTGTAGGTTAGTACAGCAGATTGTGGGCAAGCCTGCTGAAACAGTTTTGTAAGCTAAGCATGCTTTGGCACTGTCATGATACATCTGAAATTAAAACCAAGCCAGAATTATTAATCTGTGTTGATGCTTGCTTGCACCAAATGTGTTAAACACGTGTGAAGACCAAAAGGGACTATACAGCACCAGTCCTAGTATTGTTATATATAGTAAATTTTCCTGCTTTACAGTTGCCACTGCCCTCACAATTACGATTCTTACTGGTTCATGAGGACACAACAGGATGAATTATTTTAGTTTATACATGCAGTACGTGGAGCAGGCTTAGTTTTGTGAAATGAAAACTGAAAGGAAAAACTGAAACAAATGATGGTTAATACCTTAAGGTTTTGAAAGTTTTTTAGTTTCTGATTTGTGAAGTTAAATAAACTTGCTGATTTAGATTGTAGAGGTGTTTTGTTGTGTTTGCTTTAAGGTATTTTGTTGTTTTCTTTAAGATTAATGTATCAGTAAATAGTTGTGGTTGCAGGAGCTGTTAAAGGTTTCCAGCTCCCCACGTTTTTGGTTTCTTTCCTCTGCTCTACACTTCGTTGTTAAAACATAAAAAGGCATGCAGCATGCCTTCAAATTCTTTTGAAGATGGTTTATGATTATGAGTTGTTCAAAAAGTAGTGTGCGTGTTACAAAGGCATGCATTTTTCCCCAGTCATTTGTATTGGCACTGTTTTCTTTCCAGAAGCAGCTCAGACACTGTTTTATGAGCATATAGCACTTTCTGTGTATTTCTCCAGTTATATATATATATTTTTTCCCTTCTTTAATAATACTTGTCTGCTTTTTTTGGGATGTAATTGTGGAAAAACTAATTTCAATGATTATTTTTGAGAGTAAATAAAAAATGCTGGCCTTCTCTACAAAATCACAGACATGGTTTTTGTTAAAGAGTACAATATGGGGCAGCAGCCGAAATGGAATCAAAAAGTCTGACATTTAAGGTTGTCTTTACTGAGAATAGAGTAAATTAATAAAATTAAGTAGAGTTGGGCAATGGGACTGAAAATATGAAAAACTACTGCTTTATTAACACTGTTACTAGTTTAATAATTGCTCCTTCAATTTCTCTGTTCTCCTCATAGCATTTTGCATGGCACAGCCCACAGAGGAAGGGATGTTACTAATTCTTTGGTAAAAAGGAGGCAAACATCCTTCGTCTTTAGCCTTGTGAAGGGATTCCAGCAGCAGGAAGGTGTCCAAAGAAAGGAAGAATTCGTGTTGCAAGACAAGCTCAAGAGCAAAGAGTGTTTGACATGCTGAGAAGTGGTCAAGGGGTCAAATGGCGAAGTTGCAAAGAGGAAGGGACATACAGGAAAAGAACGATGGACATGGTGCAAAAGCTGATAAATGTGCTGGAGAACTGTGCTGCACTTTGCTCACATGTAACATGTTAAATCAGTCCCGTCCTGTAGCCTTCCATTCCTCCAACTGCAAGCAATAGGCAGTTCCTCCATATGTTCACCTGAAGATAAGAGAGCATATATAATCTTGCCTGCACATTTCTGAACCCTTTACAAAAATGCGTCCAGCCTCAAGATCAGGTCTTCTGTTCCATTTTTGTTCTTTCAGTTTGCACTATTGTGTTGTGCCCAAGCAGACAGTGATAATCTGGACTTAACTGGAAAGAGCTATTAAAGTGTAGGTGTCCCTAATGATAGCCATTTGTAATAAAACTGAAGTACATAAACTATATAATACATTGTATTCATTTTATTCATTGCACTATCATAAAGTTTCTGCATCTATGCTCGTAAAACATGAGCACTGAATTTGACTGAATCCAGTTCACTGGATCTTTTTTATATATATATTCATATATATATATGAAAAGGATATATATGAAAAGGAGAGAGATTAGCTATTCAAAATATTCCAAAGTTGTCTTTTTCTACTTCTATCCATTCTCTCAGATGTTGTGAAGTTGGGCAAAACTCAGCAAACCCATGAGGCAGATATTATGGCAGGGAAAGTAACATGTAGAATGAGGGGGTGGGGGGCTGTATGATCAGACTTGAGTAGCACAGAGGCAGGCTGGACTTGATAAAAGCTTCTGCTTTGCTTGAGGTAGGATGCTGCTGGTAAGCAGTTGGCAGAGTCTTTGCTCCCTGATAAACAACATTTCATCATTAATGTTCTACATTTGAAGAAGGAAGAGGGGACTGCCTGGTGCACTGTTCTTGGAGGCTTTCCAGCTCCTGCCTTAAAGCAGGCTCTAACCTATGATTAAACACCTCTGCTTTCCTTTCTGTCTTCCAAATGTTCACTGATTATTCTGCCTCAGCTGAAGATACTTAAACGTCTAGAAAAGCTTCTGAAAAGCCAACAAAACAAAGACACGTTCTTAAGAGGTTGCACTTCAGTATTACCATTTTGATCTGTTTTACTGTGCAAAACAATGGTTTTTGCCGCCAGACCTTTTCTAAGCCACTCCATAAAACTGTTAGTGAACTTCCTATGTTGTCAGATGTGGTATGCTGCCTTGTTGAGCTGGAAAGGCTTGGCGTTAGAATCCTTAAACAATTCATGTTTGTTGTGTACAGCAAGTGGGGGAAACGTGTTGATCTTCAAAATTTTATTTGCAAGAGCATGGAGACCTGAGACCTGGCTTGGAGGACTAGCGACAGCTCTGTGGGTCCTCTCAATAGCCTCTTGTATATGAAGCAGTCAGAAGTTTTACAAAAACATTGCAAAGCTCTGATCTGGACTCAAAGACAAGTATGAATGCATACCATTGGGATAATCATATTTTACACCTACAAAGTGACATGCTTGAGAACAAGTTACCATGATATTAAGAAGTGCACTAATCCAAATGAAGCTTTGCCTGTTGAAGATCTGTCCCATCACTGTTGCTAGTGTAGCTGAAATATCATTTTATTCCAGATCATCACGTCCATGGGAACTGTTTGAAAATGGAAGTGCACAGTGCTTCTCATTAACAAAAAGCAAAGCCTGTACTGTGATGTAAATGCAATGGTAGTCCCACGTGCACTTTGACTTGTAATAGCTTGGTAAGGATGCATCTACTGGGTGTCCTGTTCTAGTAGCAGTGCTGTTATTCCACAAGGGAAGTGGCACATGCACTATGACTGAAACAGTGTTAATGTGAATTTTCAATTAGGGTCTTTGTCTAACTACAGCAAAACAAAACTTCAAACAAAAATCTCTTTTGAGGAAAAATCTTTCCTGAGTAGACCAGCTCTTAAATACCTGGAAAGCAAGTTGAAGAAAATCAAGGGTAACTTGTATTAAAATTATCTTTCATATTCTTGAAGAGCGCTAGTTTGTAAGTTCTAAGATATAAGAGAGATGCTGTGTCTAATAATACTGTACGAGTTTGTTATATGTAAAGTAGTATATGTGGGCAATTCTGAGTTACCCTTGTTTTTACCAGTGGACCCAGTTTTGTGGGATAGCAAATCTGTGGACATATTGACATTTGCTATCATTGACAAAGGGTGAAAAGCTGCACCTGTCTGTAATTAGTAGCCCCAGTTAGGTAATTTAGCCTTACTTTCGTCTACTGACAAAACCTCTTTGTTCTCTCTTGATAAAAAGGAAGGGCACAATGTGCTTATCCCAAATCCATGTTCTAAGGAAAAGGTACGTTCTGTCGTACTGCCAAGAAAGGTTATAATTTATTTTAAAAAAAGTTGAGATTTGACAGCTCCATTAGCTTGTTGCCTGGGAAGCTGAGACTCATTTGTTGCAGGAATGCCCACACTTAAGTAGCTGGAAGAAAGTATGGTACAACCTTTCTAATAAGTCAGAATATTGACCTTCTTACTTGTAGGTCTCTTCTAGCAAGGGAGTTGACTGCCAGCTGCTTCAAAGGCTGCAGGAGCAACAGAAACTCAGATCCTTGTATTTAAACTTCTCTGCTTCTCTAAGCTGTGGTCTGCTTACAGTGAACAGTACTTTGCAGAGCTGTGCTCTAGTTGTCTTTTTTTGTTGTTTTTTTTTTTCCCCAGTTTGTTTGCTGGCACTTAGTCCTTCAGCATAGCCTGCAGATTTAGTGTTGTAACTTGTCTGGAGCGGGCAGTGCCATCCTCTTATAAATTAAAATAGCCATTCCTTTTTGCTTTGCTGTCCCTTCCATTCTCCTGCAGCAGTTAAGTTAGCCCACGTAAGCATGGGCTTATGATATCTAGGAGGATCACTGTATACCTTGTGATGATGCCTCTCCTGTGGCATTGAGGCAGATCAAGCACACAGGAGGAGGCTGCTGGTAATCACTCCTGAGCTTGTGGTCTCAGTAGGCCACCCTTGCTAGCAACCATTTGTCTTTCTCTTTACTAGTTACCTTTTTAAAGCCATGTCTACGTTTAGCAAAAAATATTGTGCATTTTAGTGAATGTCCCAGAAATACTATACAACCAAAATCCTGGTTGTGTAGATAGCGTACGTTAAACTATGTTTTGATTCTTTTGTGTCTTTCCTCTTGGTAGCAGTAGAGCCAAAAAAGAGAGCTCTTTGTCAGTCTGTAGGTTTTTTCCTAAAGATCTGACCTGCCTCCAGGATTCCATGAGTAGAAAAAGATATTCAATTTGTTTTTTAAAACATGACCTGATGTAGCGTGCTATCTGTGTTAGCAGCGTAGTAGGCTTGGTGACCTGTGTCCAGAAACACAGGCATATTTGTGGATTCTTTTAGTAGATGACCATTTATGACTCAGAGGAAGATTTAATTGAACCAACATTTCTGAAATCGTGTGGTGTTTCTTTTTTTTTTCCCTTGGCTAACTCACAATCACAGTAACTTCAATTATTTCTGTTCTAGTTGCGTGGCAGAGCTTAAACGTTCACTCATAGTCAACCGTAATGCAATGATCTGGTGTTTGTTGTTACGTATTTTCCTTGGTTTCACTGTTTCAAACTCCTCAGGAGGTTTGGACAGGAAACTGCTGTCCTGTCAATGGCAGTTCTGGGCTGGCTGAGACGATTTTTATACTTTTCTGAAATCTCTGTGTGTTCCATCTGACGTACTTGCCTTGATGTGAAAATATGGTATCTTGGAATATCAGCCACATCCTGTGCATGCATCTGCAGTGTCCTATCTCCTGAAGTGAGTTCTGGTTGCATAATTTCCTTAAAAACATGTTTGGGAATTTCGAAAACTTCCTCTTCATCAGAAAAGTTTTACTCTGTTGACTTCTGAGCATCGTTCAGAAGTACTGGGCTGTTGAAAATGCTTCCTCTGAAATCTGTCTAGTGGCAGTTTCAGTTGCTTCCCATCATCTTTGCAATAAATATATTCCTATGTGCTGTTAGGTAATTACTCTCCATTTTTTAATATAGTTTTTTTTTGTTTGTTTGTTTTTGTTTTTTGTTTTTTAGAGCAAGACTGTATGCCTTACCAGTTCTTCCCTCTATCTCATTTCACAAACATGATGTATGTATTTTATTGCAAGGCTAACTATACTGTCACCTGAATTCATTGGCAAGTGGTGATCAATTGTGATCTTGAGAGCGAGACCATTCTTGATAGTGAGACTGTAGGCTGGGAAGGAAAAAATGACAGGTACTAATAGTACTGATAGCACTGAGTTCTGAGATCAGTGCCAAACTATGTAGGATCTGTAATAGCAGACAGGTAATAGCATGTCTATTTTGGAATAAACATTAGAGATGGTGTTGAAAATGTTAGCTGCCCTTGAAAATCTTTGGAGAGGCAGGGACTATTTACATACAGAAGACAGCACCATGGTCTCTTGCTGCAGCAGGCTGCTCTATGGTTTATTTCTGAAACTTCTCCCTGTGGGCATTGCCTTTGTAGGCATGGTAACCCATGAGTAGTTTAATAGCTGGGGGACTACTCTGTTAGGAGTTGCATTTTGTATGAATTCTAAAACCTCGTTATCAACTATGCAATATATTTTAAGTATGTTTTTTTCTGAAGAAGGTGACAGATTTCTTGTTCAACTTGTATCCATTGAATTGAATGATGGGACTTAACAGTGATTAACTTTGACTTGAGTAAGAGAGAAATGCCTATTTATTCTACTTTACCAAATTAGCAAGGTAACCAAATAAGTGATGTTCTGCCTTCATATGAATAACAACACAACAACAAAGAGAGTTTGTACATGTTTTGTCTATTAATGTATATAGACTTGTATCCACATTCATGACTGATAGCAGTTGTGTTACTTCAGAAAACTTGTCTGTATAGTCTGAACACTTATCTTTGAAGTGAAATCTCTTCTGTTGCCTAACTGTAGCACTGTAAATAATGTTGGGAATGTTTCACTATTCAAACTTATTTCCTACAAGCTGAGGTGAACAGGTGATATATTTATTTTTAATATCAATTATTCCTATTACGTTGGCCATAATATCATTTATTTATTAACTATTTAATCAGCTTCCTTTGTTGCATAGTAATCCCATCCATATGATTTTTATGACATAATTTGACTTTGATATTGGCGTGAGATGTTAAACGTTTTTCTTTCTCAAAAAGATGCCATTATAAAGATTGTATTGCATTAACTTTGAAGTGAAGAAACTTAGAGAGTCTCAATATCTGCAGCGCATGTTGAGCTATATTAATTGTTTCAGGTCAGGATTTAATATTACTAGTTAGATAGGGTGTGTTAGGATTTGTTTTGTTTTTTAAACTCGGAACACTGTGCAGCCATGTAATCAAGTATTTTGTGCAGCAGAGAGTTGTTGCGATTGACCCTAGGGGAGCAGAGACTGTTCATTATAAATTGTTTTTATGCAGGCCATTAGACCAGCTATTTCTTATGTATGTGTTATTATAGTTGAAAAGGATTTACCACACCCACTATGCAGCATTTGAAGCCATTTGTAGACCTAAATCCTCTTTTTCCTTGACTTTGTTTCTCAGACCACCAATTCTCCCTAGTCCTTCTCCTTCAAAATCCATTCCAATCCCACAGCCCTTCCGACCAGCAGATGAAGACCATCGGAATCAGTTTGGGCAACGCGACCGATCCTCTTCAGCTCCCAATGTTCACATCAATACAATCGAGCCAGTCAATATTGATGTAAGTATTAACATTTGGATCATGAACAGCAGATTTGGTGTTTCTCTTATGAATATCAAGGTGTTAAATATATCATGTGCGCACACAAGTACTGTATTTCGAAGCTAATCCTTGGTCTGTCAGAACCTTTGTAGATTCCAAGAAAGAATTTTTTCTATTGAGGGCTGTAGGAATACAAATATCTCAACAAGCAGAAGCTACCTTTATATAGGTATAGGCTGTAGTTCAGCCTTTAGCTTTCAAAAAAGCATTCTACCACAAACTACTGCTGTTCTCTATTTTACGATCAGTCTTAAGGCTCATACTGCTACCTGTACAGCATTAAGAATGTAAAGGCCAGCAACCATCCTTACACACCACTGTATGCATTAAGTTAGTTTCTTGGCATGTGAGGTAGTTTTGTTTTTTGCTGTTTTTTTTTTTTTTTTTTTTAAAGTTTGCTTTACAAGCAATATTTCTGGTGTTGAAGGACATTATTGGAGTTATCTGAGCTCAGATTTAGTGAGTGTTGGTTAGCATTCCATGAACCCAGTATATATTAATGTGAGTGTTCAGAAGCTCTTATGCTTAACATGTTATCCACATTTTTGGGATTTCTGAATGCTGAACTGTAATGCTTAACAATAATAGTTGATAATAAACATAAGAGCAGCTTGCATCGTTCAAAATTTGAATCACGAGGGCCTCTTTCTAATTTTGTTAATTTGTACAGCTTATATTTTTCCTTTGAATCCACTCTTTAGAAATCTGTCATTTGTCAGGTGAATGGTCTTGAAGTCTGTCTGGACACTGAGGCACAAAAATCTACATACGAGTTGAGTGAAAGGTGAAATGTTAGCTGTGTATTAAGAAAGCAGCTTACTGGACATTTGCATATGGCAGTGGTGTAGCTGAGAGGCAGGACTGGTGCTTTTCAGCAGCAGTGCAAATATATAAAGTAATCATACACCCATTAAAAAAAAAAAACCTTAATGGTGAAAATGCACCTCAGCCACTAGAATTTTCTTGTGCGAAGAACATCGTTAGTGTTGGTTACTTGTAGTCTGGATATATGGTAAAAGATACTCTCAGTTAACAGTGGATTGAAGGTGGAGGAAGTCTTTTGCAGTTAGTCATTTCTGAAAAGAGCAGAGTGCATCTGGGTATGCAAATGCGGTGCGTTGGTACAAGCATGAAGCAGAACTCGTTTGACTGACTTACCTCAGTACAGGAAATTGGTGTCCCAGCTTCTGATAAGACAGTTCAAATAATTTGTATCACGAACACTGCAATCAGAATGTTTGATTTGATACAGCTTTGTGCGTTTTGGCCAACTGCATGTTTAAATCAATATTTTTATATCAGTATTGATTTGGGGGGCTATGAGTTTCAGTTTACTACTGGGAGATGCCGTTCTAAAGCAAATGGTTTGGAAAAGTTTAATGATTGTTATAGTTTGGAGTCGCTGGTGTTAGTAAGCCAGAATAGGAAACAACTTCTGTTTTGTGACCAGCATATAAGGTCATGGATTATCAATTGGATCGCTCCCACTGATTCTGGAATGTAAATGTTAATACTTACATGCAATTTTTTTTTAATAGGACTTGATTAGAGACCAGGGTGTACGAGGAGAGGGAGGTAAGTAGTGTTTAAACTGGCTACTGTGCTATATTTAAATATACAATTCCTCTGTCCTTTCCCTTTGTTCTACTTCCTTCTATAAAACACGGGCACAAAGGAAAATATGACTAGAATTAAAAAATGAATTTGCGTTTGCTTGTCCATTAAATTAGTATTTGTCTGACAAAGATTTGAGTCATTTGCCAGTCATTTTGGGAGTGGGGGAGACAGAAGGAGAAAAAGTTTTGAAGTGTTATCTGGTCTTTTAGTATTAAAATCATCCTGCACTCTTTTTTTTTCCCCTCTTTCACTCACACATACACACGTACACAGTCACTCACTCACATGGCTGCATGCAGTTATGCTACAGCTTTCCATCTCTCTCAAAAATATTTATGCCTATTGTTACCTTCCCACCTGTGGAAACTACAGTAGTTTCCTTTGAAGATTATCAACACAGTATATGGACCTTCCATATGAACTGCTGCATCCTAAAGCGGCATGATGTTCTCCAGTTCTTCTCCCCCTCTACCCCTGCTGAAGATGCTGCTTTGCTATACTGCATGCCTGTGCTAATCTTGGACCCGAGTTGTTAGGACCTTAAGTTAAAGCCAGCTCCCTTTATGTTTTCTTTGGTAAAACACAACCCTAATTGACAATTAAGCCAGAACTAGTGGCAGAAGATAGATTAATTTTTCTTCTCATGTTATGCACAAGCCCGGTTGTCAAGTCCTGAGAGGGCTTCTATATGCCGTGTGTATTCCTATGAATATACTACTAATAAAGGAGCAGTAAGTTTTGTAGACCTGTGGAAGTTTTTCCAACTCCAGATTATTGACTCAGCCATCTACTACTTCTTGTAACTTGTTTCAGCCATGAGAAAATTGAGTTACCTCACTGCAGTCCACCCCGATCTCCAATGTTTTGTACCATGGGCTATCTCTTAACTGTTTCTCCCATCCATGACATGGGTAGGATGGGGCCTACCTACCACTTTGTGGTTGAGGGAGCTGTTTTTTCTTATGCCACTGATAGTACCCTTCTTTAAAAAGAAATTTCCTTTAGCATCCTGCCAGAAAATTAATTTCAAGTTTCAAGTTTTAGCTATTTTTGTATGTCTCAGTAGGTGTGGCTCTCCACAGTTTTGCCCATTTTGTCCAGCATTTAAGTGTTGTGGTATCATGTTGGTTTTAACTTTTGATCATAAACTGTCTGCTTGGCATCTGAAAACAATTGGCAATTCCCATTCTTGAAACGGTGTTTTTAGTAATTGACGTTTTTGTCCTTCGAAGTACAGAAGCAAACTATGAATAGGAGTCAAAGCATCCTAGTTATTTCCCATGACTTCTTTCATTTCTTCTATGTGTCTGTCTTTCTGTCTCTGCCTGCCCGTCTCTTTCTCTCTAACAGCCCCTTTGAACCAGCTGATGCGCTGTCTTCGGAAATACCAATCCCGGACTCCCAGTCCCCTCCTTCATTCTGTCCCCAGTGAAATAGTGTTTGATTTTGAGCCTGGCCCAGTGTTCAGAGGTAGTTGGGCTCTTCTTTCTTGTTTTCACCCAAACAAAATAAGTAAAACCACAGATGCTGTTTGTGCCTCACCCTCACACCGTGTGTATGTAAGTGTGTGAGTTTATCAAAACACCTCTGTTTTTTGCTTGGCCTGGCTGGAATGCTTTGAATGTGCTTTCCACACATATTCACTTTCACGTTTATATGCTTGAAGATGACTGTAAAGTCTGACTTAAATCTTCTAAAGCAAGGAATTTCATAGTTGAGGTATTTATATGGACCAAGACGTAATTTTTTCTAAACAGAGGTCCTTGGATTGCATTGCATTGCAGTGATTTTAAAGACATGTCCTTAACTTAGAATTTCCTTGACTGCTCAATTTAAGTCAGTTCAGTGCTTTAACACTTTTATGTATTTAATAATCTTTATTTTGAAAAGTAATCTAGGAAATCAAATGTGAATTACAAACATTTCCATTGATATCTTGTCAGGTCTTAAGCTTTTCACACAATGTGCCATGTCAACTTTCCACAAGAAATGTATTGTGAGGATTTTTTTTTTTGATACTACACTGGGGCCCTGGATGGTTTAGACTAAATCATTTTTATTTAGTACATATCCAGTGAAACAATGCTTGCTTGTGTCCTGAACAATGCAAAGTAATACTTTTTCATTTTCACACGTCACTGACTCTTCAGTAATTCAGGCCTAAAGCTGTCAATGGATCTGTTTTATTGCACAAAATCCCCATTGGGATTTCATATGCTGGAAAAACCTACTGTTAAGTTATAGCATGAAATAAAAATATTTGTGTATCTATGTATACCTGTAGAAATGAATAGTCAAGTGCATGTAGCGTAGTTTTCAAATGCTACCACCTTGGCTGTTTCAAAGACTTTTGTTGCAGAACATACCAAGAACACTGAAATTGTTCCAGAAATTTTTGCATGGAGAGGGGTATAAAAAGAGGCAAGTAAACTGTGTACAGAATGGCATACATTAAATACAGCTTAGGAGTCCATGCTAATGACTTAAGTCCAGCATTATCTAAAGTATTGCATGGTACTGACAACTTGGAAAACAGGTCCACTGGTGTTATTATGGACAGGTTAACTGTAATGTCCTACCCTGTGCTATAACCAGATCCACTAAAGAGTAAATGTTCTGCTAGTGCTGCTATATCTCAGTATAAAAATTTAAGTAGGAGATTCCAGTTACTTCTAAAGGAGACATAATGTGTTCCCTTTAATATCTTAAAGTACAATTTTAAGAGAAAATCTGTAAGCCAATAGAATTTTGGAAAAAAGTTCTTATTCTGGGAACATCATACATTTAATTTTGATTTTTGTTTTGTTTTCAGACAAATAATGTAGTAAAAGCATAATAATATAGTGACATAAAATGAAATTGACAGAGAATAGGAACAAAGGTTCCTCCATTAGGTCACTGGCTTCCATCTGCTTCTAAGTTTAATTAGGTACCCAGTATGCATTGTTGTTGCTTTAACGTGGGGAAAAGTTCAAGAATGCTGCATTCCATTTTTGATACTATTATGTGCTTCCACTTCTAAACATATGGATTTTAGCTCAATGAAGGAAAGCAGTGATGGATAGATATAATCTGGTAAATTAGCACATAGAGGGGCTGAGCACAAGCAACAGTCACAAAAGCTACAAAATGGATTTTGAATTCAAGTTGGCATTAGGAGTCTTCTTTGCAGGTAGGAAAGGGGGTTGTGAAATAATAGGAGGAGTGCTGTCCTTCCCCACTGATGTTAGAGAAAGTACTGGAATGTTGGAGGCCTTGTACAATGACATACATCATTTATCAGAGCAGGGTGAATTTAATTAACAGTTGACCCTATTTTATGTCCTTTGGACTAAGAGAGAATCAGCATGAACTTGCTAATTAAGGTGTACTTTAAAAAGCAATGTCTAGTTTAAGTGCTCTATTTGTAAAGAGGCACTGGGGCCCTGAAACACAGCTCTGTGATTTTTCTATGCAGTTTTGTTTAGACAGTATGTATGTTAAAGATAAACTGTTCTAATTTGGATTTATTAGAATATGCCTCAAATAGGTAGATTGAGCACTTGTTCCTTTGTAAGCCTTTCTGCAGTCTAATATCTACTTTTCGATAAAAGCTCTTTACTAAAAGATAGCTTTAAAACAGCCAAATGGTTTTGAGGTGGCACTTGAAGACTCAGCTAGAAAATGTTTTTTTTTTTGTATTCTGTTTTGATTCCAAAATACAGTATCTCAGTTATTTATTGGGTCCCTAAAACGTTAGCTACATGAAATCTGAGAGGCAGCTGCAGCTAACTAAATGCTACTACTTGTCAAAGAAGCTGGCGGAATTAAAAACAACAAAACATTTTTTTTTTCTTCTTAAACATTATCCCTCTAATTCAAGAACAAAAGGCTGAGGACTAGATGATACACAGGAACGTTTGCTATAGACTCGTCTCTTTCTGTTACCTAAGACTTGAGCTAATCTAGTATTAATACAATATTCCTGAGTGTATGTTTGTTCCTTCTTAACATTTACATTGATGTTTGGAGATACTGCATCTTAAACAAAATTCTTGCACCTGACACCAGTTACATTCTTGTAAGCTGGCTTCTTAAAGATAAAAATTATCTGTTCTGAAATTTAGGTTCAACTGCAGGTTTGTCTGCAACACCTCCCGCATCTTTGCCTGGGTCACTTACCAATGTGAAAGCATTACAGAAATCACCGGGCCCCCAGCGGGAAAGGAAATCATCCTCATCCTCAGAAGACAGAAATAGAATGGTAAGATGAGTTATTTTCACACGCAGTACGCAGTGTGGTATACTCATAGCATAGAAATACCACGCATCCTCATGGTACAGAAATACCACACATCCGTGTTTTTCTCAGTTTTCTTTCATCGTAGCCACGTGAATTATTTTCAAGATGATTATATAATGGTCAAGAATTTTAAACCAGTAAATAATGGAATATTGAAATCATGAGACTAGTAGAGACTAGATCATCAGCTGTGTTCACTTTTCCTCCATTGCACCCAAGTGTCTGGGTGCACTTTATATTATAATGCCAGTTTCCCTTCAAAGATTATCTTAAATCTTTTTCTCACCATGTTTCACGAACATGTTTCTCTAATGAGTCAAATTTAACAATGGATAAAATGACTGCATTCTTTTAATTCAGAGTTCAACCTTATGACTGAGTAAGAATTGAAAAATTCATAAATGAGACCTTCCCTTTGGGAGGAAATTCTCCATTTTTTTTACTGGTTTTAATTCTGCCCGAAATCTGTGGCAAGTATTTCCTGTCAGGAAATTACTTGTATACAATTATGCTGAGGTTTTGAATATACCTAATTTGAAATGTCGCTTGCAGTATTTGGAGAAAAAATATTTTAATTGCATGTAGTTTTGATACTGAATCTTTAATAAAGGACGTATTTTAACAAGCATTAATTGTTGTTTTTTCTTCTTTTTTTCTTTTTATTATTTGTGTAAATATGTAAAGAAAACCCTTGGTCGACGAGATTCAAGTGATGATTGGGAAATACCAGATGGGCAGATCACAGTTGGACAAAGGATAGGGTCTGGATCATTTGGAACAGTCTACAAAGGAAAGTGGCATGGTACGTGGCTCCCAGTGCAAACAGTTGCTTTTAAGCAAGTGGCATTGCCTGCTGGGGGCCACTGAGCTGAAAAGCAGCTCTACAGAAGAAGATCTGTAGGTCCTCGTGGATGCCAGCTTGAACATGATTAAGCAACGTGGCCTTGTCACAAAGAAGGTTAATGGTATCTTGGGCTGCATTATAGACAAAGCATTACCTTAAGGTGGAGGGAGGTGATCCTTCCCCTCTACCTCATTACTGGTAAGACTGCATCTGGAGTGGCAGTTCCAGTTCTCCCCACTACAAGAGAGATGTGGACATATACTGGAGAGACTCCAGCAAAGGCCCTCTGCTGTGAAGAAAGGCTGAGAGCTGGGACTCTTAAGCCTGGAGAAGGGAAGACTCATTTATTATATATATTAAAATGCCTGAAGTAAGGCTAGAAGGAGGATGGACTCAGGCTCTTTTCAGTGGTGCCCAGTGACTGGGTCAGAGGCAGTGGCTGCCAACTCAAACAGAAGAGACTCTGAGCATGAGGAAACACTTCATTGCAGCGAGGGTGACCAAACACTGCCACAGGTTGCCCAGAGAGTTCGTGGAGACTCCCTCCTTGGATATGCTCAAAAGCATTCTGGGCATTGCGCTGTGTGTACAGCTATAGGTGGTGCCTGCTTGAGCAGCAGGGTCAGGTCACATAGCCCCAAGAGGTCCCAACAAACCTCAACCATTCTGTGACCTATGAATGCTATTTAAATCTAAGAATCATGGGTTAAGTAAGTTACATTAGAGCTTAATCAGTGCAGAAACTTGACTCCTATGTGTTCTTCAGAAGTAATTATTAGGGTAAAGATGAAACACAATTACTAGAAAGGCTGAAGTAGCCACCTCACTATGCCAGAATCTCAAATGTATGCGTACACAGAAAGTTCAGATGTGGCTAGAATTTCTCAGAGTAAAATAAGAATAATACTTATACATGTTTACAGAATGTATACTTATTTTAATATAGCAGTGGTTTATTTCACTAAAGCTAGAAAACAGAGTCTAAATATTTCTGATTTTCTATATAGCATTTTCTCAATTGAGGAATCTGTGTCAATGATACTTACTAAAGATTGCTATTTTGAAGGTGACGTGGCAGTGAAAATGTTGAATGTTACAGCACCCACACCTCAACAGTTACAGGCTTTCAAAAATGAAGTAGGAGTGCTCAGGTAAGAATATTTGTAGTATGAAATAATCTGTGTAGATTTATGTTTCTGTAATGATTGAGTTTCACATTTCCATTACATCACAGTGGTCTTATTTCTTAATTATGATAATTTGGGTAGAAAATACAACTTACTATTTTAAAACATTTCTTTATTATCCACTGCTTTGTATCCATGTGTGTTTGTCTGTAGATTGATGTTACTGAGTATATGGTATATCCAAGCACTCAAGACAAGTCTGTGTTTTACTGTTGTAGTACCCACAGGACAGTCAGACCTTTGCTCTCTTCCAAGTTTTGAGATTGAAGGAGAGTATAACTGATTGTTCTTTTCCAGCCATAGCTCTGCCCATGTTTTCCATTGTTTCGTAGCAGCATTGACTCATCCTTGATTTTTATTTTTTTTTTAAATGTCTATTTCATAGTCACTTCTTGATTTTCTCTTGTTTAGTGCTTGTAATTTCTTAGGTAAAGTATTTGTCTTACATGCAGTTCGTAACAGAGATTCTATCAATGCTATATCATATTTGTTTGGGAAGAGCATTAGCATCCAATTACAATCTTGAGCATAATTTTGTTTTAAGAAGCAAAATAGAAAGGAGTTTTTTGGCTTTGGTAAATTCACATGTTGGGATGGGTGCCTGTCCTGGAGAAGGGTCCACAGGAAAATGCATGGTGAAGCTCTGAAGTCTATAGCTGTGGTAACAAGCTTGTAGGAATATGCTGCCTTGAAGAGGTGTGCATATTTTTGGTCTCATACCTGAAGTCTGGCCTTTGAAGTCCATGGTGCTATCCTTTGACCCAGCCAAGCCATTTATATTTGTCAGTGCATTTTCCATTATGCTTCATCAGTACTTTCTTAGCTTTGAGGTAAAATTTGCAAGAAAGCACTGATTTTTGTTCACTCAGCAGTTAGTCTCAGCATCACTTGACAAATCCTTGCACCTGAAAAAGGCCCAGTCACATAGGTTAGAACTCTCGTAGCCTGCATTGGTAGGGGATAAACAAGTCTGCATGGCAGGCTCCTCTGTTAGTTTTTTAATATAAGAAAATATGGAATGCTTTGTCATCAGCTGCACAGCATGCAGACTTAAAAAGCTGCCACATGTTTTAAGCTTGGTCTGTCAGGTTTCATCAGGCAGTGAGCAAAGTGCTTGCAGTACTGTGCTGTGTTGGCAGAAGACTGTCTTTTTCCTCAGCCTCTGGAAAAGCTGGCTAAGACTGCAGAGATCACTTTTTTTGTGACCTCTATTTGGTGTGTTTGAAGGGATCTAGTTCTTCTTGATATCCGTTTGGTGACACTAAGAATGTGATTGGCTTTTCCTGGAACAGGATCAGGATAAACTTTTGCATTTTAGAATGTATCACTAGACTGTTTCAGGCCTTGAATCTACTGGGATATCTGCTGAGATCACCTTCTTAGGACTTTCTTTTAAGAAGTTTTGATGTCTGGAGTTGCTGCTTCTTTGAAAGAGGTTTGATTTAATCTGGCCAAATCTCTGGTGAACTTAAGTCTATTCTAGTACTGTTTAGAAACAACTTCATTGAGAATATCTTGACTGTAGTGAGATACAGTTTTCACATCTATCTCCATCCTTATTTGTATGCTGGCTCCACACAGAGAGTAAAATGTTGTTATCAAACAAAGTACTAATTGAAAATGAAGTCTTGCCAAAAAGGCGTGTTGTTGGTGTCCGTGAGTCTGAAATTTCATTTTGAATGTCTTCCTGATGGGCAGCAACATCTCGTAGCTGAACTAGCGTTACATATGCTGAGACCTGCCTTCAAGCACTCACTGTCCCTTGTAGACTTAGTTGGCATCTTCTGAACATTTCTGTTCTAAGCTGCTTTCAAAATCAAGAAGAAGCAGTGCTTGCTCCAAAATAGCTATTCCATGTTGATAGAATAAAGACTAAAGACTGAAATCATTCATTGGGCTCAATATAGAAACAGATCACCCTAAGGAGATAAGACTGACCAAGAACTTCAGTTTGGAAAGATGTGTTTATTTCTGTCTGGTTCTTGTTGTTTGTTTGCTTTTCATCAATTTCCTCCTGAGTTTTATATATATGACATATATATATGTGATTATTTTTTTTTTTAACAGGAAGACACGGCATGTGAATATCCTACTTTTTATGGGTTATTCAACAAAACCTCAGTTGGCTATTGTTACACAGTGGTGTGAGGGGTCCAGCTTATATCACCATCTGCACATAATTGAGACCAAATTTGAAATGATCAAACTAATTGATATTGCACGACAGACTGCACAAGGCATGGAGTAAGTATCGTATGATTTGTTTGCAAATGATTGTTGGGACCCTGTCCACATACTTCCTTCATTCTAGGCTGTCTGCTCAGTCTACAAGCCCAGGATCTTGCATTAATCAAAGTATTTGGTGAAGTGTTTAGATCAGTGGAATAGAGTTTTTGTGCTCTTTTTTCTGGAACATAGAGAAATACGTGGCATCAAGTAATATGGTCTCTGAAAACAAAATGAAAGTTTAACCACACTGCGATTATCTTTAATCTTGTGAGCAAAGATTTCTGCCCAAGTCTTTATGGTCTTCACAGTGCAAACAGTCTTAGGATAGGAGATAAGACCCAGTTTAAAAAAGAAACACCGAGTGAATGAGAGGGTAGAATAAACACAAAATGAGGCTCTTCCAGCAGGTGTGTGCCACTGATTGATTAAACAGAGCCATGGGAGACTGGCTGCCTAATTTAGACTTTGTCTATGCCGTGAGGCAGGTGCTCTTATGCTGGAACTCTGCATGTATTTATCTGACATGCAGTTTGGGGAATCTCTTTCCCAGTCCTATGCTAAGGAGCAGTCAGCTTCTTTCATGGGGGACAGAGGCTGGGAAGCACTTATAGGTGCCCCAATTTGGAAATGCCTTGCCTGAGGTTGAGACTATCCCACAAGGTATCATGACAGTCACCTTGAAGGATAGGAAGCAGAGCCTTCAACATGTCAAAAACTAGTGAAATTCTTGTGGTTTGATTCTGAATATTGACGTAATTAACTGAAAATCAGAAATTGGTGTGTAATTTGTTTCATTCTTCAGTAGGACCAGGGTTAAGCTGGAAATCTAAGCTTTATTTTGTTTTTATTTTCTCCTGTGAGTGTTGCAGGAACTGATGTGGGTACTGAAGCTTTCATGCCAAAAGTGTGCAGTTTGAATATCTGCAGAATTTGTTTCAGTAACACAATAAACTTTGAGCTGTTGATTAGTGGAATGACATCTAACGCACCCAATCTGTCATGTTCCTTTTCAGTTACTTGCATGCCAAGTCGATCATCCACAGAGACCTCAAGAGTAATAGTATCCTTTTTCAGAGATGTGACTGTAGAACCAGCATTCCTGGCTGTTTTTTTTCCTGCCAGAAATGTTCTTATTGAAGAGAACAGCTCTTCATGCATGATTATTTGAGTTGAAATTTGGTTGAGAAGGTGTAATATGATTATTAGAAAAGTAATGCTTACATTAATCTGTTAAAAAGAACATAATTCCTGTAGAAAGAATACATTTAATATAATGGGCTGTGGGTTTTGGAATGTGACATGATTAATCTTTTCATTTTACTTTTAAATATTCTTTTCTTTTGTAAAAACATACTGTGTTGTCTGTACATTGTTTTGTTTGACCACTAATGTATAGCAGAATTTCTTGATTTTCTTCTGCAGCATGCCAATAAACTATTGTAAGCAAGATACTGAAAGCAATTTCAAACTTCTGTTGGGAGCTATTGCATGTTTACAATGCCTTTGCCTGTTGAACATCTGACAAATACTACTCTTAATTGCCAAAATAGCTTATACACTAGCTGGCTCAGCTTGTGCCTGCCTGATGCCAGCAAGCACAGGTAACCCGTTGAACCCCATTTGTGCTGGTGATTGGGGGCTGCAGTTATTCCTCATGAACAGGTAATTCCCAGTGAGTGTGAGTCACAAATTTATATTGACTTAAGTCCCTGTATGCTGCTGTGATTCCAAGAACGTAGCAAGGTTTGTTGTAGTTTCAGAAAGATTTTTTACATTGTTGATTTCTGCCTGTGATGAAAGATTTCACCAGTTTGACTAGTGGAGTATTTGCAGCTTCTAGTATTTGAGCACTTGGCATTTAAAGTCATCTGGGACGTAGTCTGTTCAACACCAGCCCAGTCATTATGTGTATAACCCTGAACTACCATAATCCATTATCCCAACTGCTTAGAGCCTGTACTATATGATAACTGTATTTAATGATGATGAGTGGTTAAAACTGTTGCATTTGAAAGTGCACATTTATAGCCGTTTATTGTTTCTTGTAGGACAGGACCAGTGTGGTTTGTTTGCTTTCCCTTAACATTTATCCCTTAGATATTTTTCTTCATGAAGACCTCACAGTAAAAATAGGTGACTTTGGTCTGGCTACAGTGAAATCACGATGGAGTGGATCTCATCAATTTGAACAGTTATCTGGATCGATTCTGTGGATGGTAAGTAAAGGGGAAGCGGTATATTCATTGTAACTGATCTCATTGCCTTTGGCCAAGCTTTATAAGACTATCCTTTCCGTGCAAGGACACATGCAAGCCATCTGAGGCTGGAAAGACCAAAAATACGTGGTACTAAGTAAGTTCTTGTCAATTTTTCTTAAACTATATGTTTTCCAGTACTCAACAAAAAAACCTTCAGTGTCTACTTTCATTATTCTGAGGGCTGAACTGACAGGACAGTTTTGTGTAAGGAAAGAGAGCACAATCAATCCAGGGCTGAGGAAGATGTTCTGTCATAGTTCAATAAGGGGATCACCAAATTTAAAAGAACCAATGGACTCGTGTCAGCAGACACTTTTGTAGAGCCCAGTAACGTGGACTCTAATACAGAAACCCAGTCATGAGAGGGAGGCCTTAAATCTGTTGTACTCTGCAAATGTCCATTTCATGTTTCTGCTATGCAAGGTACAGTCTGACGTGGTGAAATAAAACCTAATTGTTTCCGTTTTTGATACAGGCACCAGAAGTGATCAGGATGCAAGACAAAAACCCATATAGCTTTCAGTCAGATGTGTATGCGTTTGGGATTGTGCTTTATGAACTGATGACGGGACAGTTACCATACTCAAACATCAACAACAGGGACCAGGTAAAGAGAGCATGGGCTTGGGAAGGGACTGCCTTTAGTCAGCAGTGGCCTGAACCAGACTGATGTAGCTCTGTGAAGTGACTGTTCTGTTGTTTTGTGTATTTCATTTATTGGTTGACTCTGATGTTCTGAGATGACGTTTCTACATTATTATTTTTTTTTTAGATCTGCCTCAGCCACACAGCACCAATTTACGCACTTTTCTTGTGTTGGTTTTTTTTTTTTCTTCTTTTTTACTTCAAGTATAGATTTTCAGATTCTAAGCTGGTTGCCAGGATACTTATTAGGTAGAGAGCAGGTTACTTAATAGTAGTTTAGTTTAGAATAGTTCTGCAAAGGAGAAATAATTCTCCCTATGTTCAGTTTTTCCTTTCTTTTTTTGCCTCCTGAATTGCACTGAATAATAGTTGAGGAACAGGACTGACAAAATGGATTTAACTGAATGCTTTATATTTATTTCAATCTTGAGAAATGCATGCACCATCTAATTGAATTTCAGGGTATCAGCATTTCTCAAAGTCTCCTTGATGAAGCATATGACTTTCCAGAGTGTGAATCCTGTAAGAAGATTACTTAATTGTGAACAAATTTTCTATAAGTTTAATGATACTCCACACCTATTACATGTTTCAGTAGGCTAGATGTGTTTGCGAAGGCTTGTCTGATTTATTATTTCTCTGTCTAATCTGAAAATAAGATCTATGCATCAAGACCTTTGGTGTAAACTATTCCTTAGCTGCCTAGTGATGTATTTCTGTGTAATGTGTCCACATCCCTTGTTTTTTCACTGTCAGTACTTGAGAATTGCAACCATAGCAACATTCATGTGTGAATGCCATTTTACAAGGCTGCTTCCATATTTGCAGAACACTTCATTCCAATTCATCAGATTTGGAGCGACTCCCTTTTTTCTTTTTTCTTCTTCTTTTTTTCTTTTTTTTTTTCCCCTTTTAAACAAAGGGAAGCATTGAGATTCCTGGCTTACATGGTTGTAACCTTCTAGAAGCAATTTTCATTTTACCTTTTGAGTCATGAACCCAATGATATGGGTACCTGCAGTTAAGAGCTGCAGTTAAGTGCCTGCTATATGACAATGATTCTGACTGCAACAAGGTAAGGGATGAGGTAGAAAAATCTTCACTATTGAAGTTTGCTTTGATACTTGGGAATTCCTGAAGAAACCATATGGGAGATCTGTTCTCTCTTAATGCAAACACAGATGCATCTGAATCAGAGAGTTGAAAAAGAACTATAGTAGTGTTAGTATCAACAGCATATATAGCTTGCTTGAGATATGTTTTTTGGTGGTGTTTTGTTTTTTTGCCAGTGTCAAGGTATGAAATAGTTATACTTTGTTAAAAATAAGGCATAATACACCTGCTGGCTCTGTCTCACTGTTCAGAAAAGGTAGTGATTATCTCATGCAGCATGAATGGATCTTTGAGAAGCTGGTTTGAAAGGGCTTTTTAGTGTCAGCATGACTGTAACGCTCAAACTGCATTAGTTTTTACCTTGGCTTGACATGACGATGTTTGGTGAGTTCTTAATGTGTCCAAAAGAACATGAACCAAATTTGTTTTTCTGCTTGCTATTAATTTACTTCATTCTATGCTTAAATTTTATCCTTAGGTGAAATGTAAGTCTTCTGCATTAGTTACTGTAAAAAATGTAAAGCCTGTGTCTACCTGAACCATCAAATAGGCCAGTAATACTTAGTTTTTGCAGAGGAGTGGCAGCGTATTTGAGGGGGAGGGAGGAGGTTAAGGAGGGGTGAGAAGTTGGTCATGATTAATAAGCTTTCATGATGGAAAAGCAAATGAAGGAATTTATTCGCAGAAGGTTGGGGCTTTTTATTTTTTAATATCTTAAGTCCATGAGTTTCTTAAAATACCTTTCAGCATGAACTTGCAGTTGACTTTCCTACAATCACAAAACCATAGAACGGCTTAGGTTGGAAGGGACCTTAAAGGCTGCCCAGCCCCAACCCCCTGCCATGGGCAGGGCTGCCACCCACCAGCTCTGGCTGCCCAGGGCCTCATCCAACCCGGCCCTGAGCACCTCCGAGGATGGAGTGTTCAATGAATAAAAGACTATTTATTTTTAGGAACTGTATACCAACCACAGTTGCTTATTCTTGTTTTATAACAGTTTTTGACACCAAAGAACAGTTCTTTTGGTGGTTATTGCTATAAATAGTAACCATTTAATAGCGTTCATGTTCCTTATCAATCTCCCATAGAAGAGAAGGAGGAGGAGAAGTCTAATTTCTTCTCTGTGCTTAGTAGGTTGGCTCGAACAAACTTGGCCATTTCAATTTCAGGTCCTGTTCCCTGGGAGCAGAAAATTTGTTGGAAATTATTAGTCTAGCAAAAAACGTTCATCTTTTTTGTTGTTGTTGTTCTTACTGTTTACTTTATGAGCTTATCTTCTTCTGTCTTCATCTTTTTTCTTCTCGAAAATAAAGATAATTTTTATGGTGGGACGAGGATATCTATCTCCAGACCTCAGTAAAGTCAGAAGTAACTGTCCAAAAGCTATGAAGAGACTAATGGCAGAATGCTTGAAAAAGAAAAGAGATGAGAGACCTCTTTTTCCACAGGTGAGGAATATTTATCTTTTCTCAGTAGCCTTTACAGCCTGACTATGAAAAATGAAGATCGCTTATGATTTCACCGATTAGTGCAGGATTTATTTTTAGTGCTACATAAGATTTCATAAGAGTCCTAGTTAGTTAGAGCTGTTTAATTAGAAATGTTCATTTACAGTTCAAAAAGCAGGTATTAATATGGCTTACATTTAGCATTTATTTGTTGGAGAAAATTTCCAGGGAAATAGTGAAATTAATGATTGCAGTTAGACACATGAGTTAGAACTTATTCTCTGAAATCTGTATGCTCCTTTCCTTCATGTCTCCTAGGCTTTATGAGAGGTGGCTGATATTTTTGTGATAAAACTTTATTTATTGTGCCTGCTGAGGAATTAAAAGCTTGGAACTGAAGGACCTTATTTTGTTGTGAATGTGCCAAAGCACTTTAAAAAGAAAATTGAGCTCCACCTACTGGCTTTTTGGTGAATGGTATTAGGGAGGCAGCTTCCAAAGCTGTTAATTTGCAGCGATGATGAGTGTGGATACTAGCATGTGAAGAAGGAGGCACATAAAGGGTAATGTGTTCCTAATGCTTAAAGAGGAAAATCAGAATGTCCTTTTAGAGGAGAAAGAGGCAGTTTCTTCACAAAATGTCCTTTTCAGCTTACGAGAATACAAACACCAGAGTGAAATGCACTCATGTATTTTTTAAAGTTTCTATTTAAATTTGTGTATAAATTTTTTTTCTTTTTTTCGTTAGTTGATGTACTGCCTTTGGTTTTAAGGCATTATAGCAACTTGAAGGCCATGGATTCAACTACTTGTTTTCTGTTTGTTTTAGATTCTTGCCTCCATTGAGCTTCTGGCCCGGTCGTTGCCAAAAATTCACCGCAGTGCATCTGAGCCGTCACTAAACCGGGCTGGTTTCCAGACCGAGGATTTTAGTCTGTATGCTTGTGCTTCTCCAAAAACACCCATCCAAGCAGGGGGATACGGTGGGTTTCCAGTACACTGAAAAGAAATGTGAAAGAATGTGCCTGTTTGCTCGTGTGCTGGTGTGTTCCTGCGTGTGCAACGCGTATGTACGTTCTCAGCTCCTACCAGCGACTTTTTAAGGTTTACTGAGGGAATGAAGACTCATTTCCTTACATGGGGCATTGAATGTCCAAGGCACGTGTCTGTGCTGGTAAGGAGTGTCTTGGGAACAGCTGGCACGAGACGAATTAGAAGGTCACTTAGAAGAGAAATGGGGGAAGTCACTTCAAAATAAGCAAAACTCTTCTAAAGATCATTGGCTGTCATTTTTTCCTGGTTTATTGATTAGAATTAGTTACTTAAGAGTATATTTATTGTTAATCTACTCAAAAAAACACATTTTTTTTTCCGATTGAGGTCATTATTTATGAGCATAAGGCTTTAGATCTTTTGTTAATAAAGCTACTCATATGTGGGAAACAGTTGGAGAACTGAACTTAGCTACAAGGCTGAGTGCAGTTTAAACTTCTTGCTGTTAGCAGAATTGAGGAGAAGCACATAGCCTCCAAAGAAAGACCTTGGTGATGTGTAACTCTTCTGAAAGTTTTTAAAATAGAGCTGTGTAGAGAATCTCTTCTTGTAGAGGACTGGTGGCTTGGTTTTTTTTTTGTTGTTGTTGTTTTTTTGTATGGGGTTTTTTTGTTTTGGGTTTTTTGTTTTGTTTTAGTTTTTATTTTTTCCTTAATGCTCTGACTTGTCTTAGTTTAGACCATCTCAAAGTGTTCTATTACGTGCAACACAGAAGAAATTCTGAATCTCTGCATTTGCTGAGCTGCAAGAGTATTACTGGCAATGGCCCCTCTGCCTTTCAATTAGCAAGAACTTCACTTTTGAAGTTAGAAAGAAAAAAAAAAAATCAAGTCTGGAGCATAACCAAATACTTCAAGAGAAAAAAGCTATGAGCCCCCATAGCAGGAGAAGAAAACCTGAGAATTAGTTGTTTTCGTGGAAATCAGTATTATACCATAAATTCTGCTAGGTTGAAATTTTTTAATACTGTTTATAATACTACGGCACGTACTTCAGTTCAGTGACTGTTTTTTTTCACTTCCATAGAAAGCTGCTAGTTTGACTAGAATTGAATCAGTTAGACTAGATATCTAACTGAAAAAGCTAGAAACCTTATCAAGATCCTGTCAGCTCACTTGATTTTATTTTTCTCTGGACCATTCCTGTGGAACAGGTGAATCAGAGTACTGGTTCAGGTTACATCAGTTTTGATGTCAGATATGAAAACAAGCAGTAATGTTATTAATGACTGTGTTCTTGCATATTTTGAAATTAATTATGTGGTTTTGTTTGTTTAAAACTGTTAAGCTGTTCATCTTTACTGATTCTTCTGCATCAGAAACAAGCTATTGCTGCTCTTGTTAGGACTTAAATGGCCAGAAATGTTCTTAATAGCTTCCGAATTTTGTACTTACAGGGGAAGCTTGCATGTTGCTAGCAATATGTTTTTGAAATGGATCAAGAAATTCCACAAAGGTTTTCCTTTCTGCTTCTTTCTGGAAACTGAGCCTTTTAAATTGGGAGAATTAAAGAGCTTACAGCAATGTAAGCAGTCTGTACGCTTTCTGACCATGTTCTGATGGTCTTCTTGGCTTCTACAGTTGGAACAGTTTTGGAACTAACTTTTCTCTTTATGTTAGCCAAGAAAATTCATCTGTTGAAATCTGTCTCTTATGGAAATAGTTCTTAAGGATGCAAGTTGTTGCTGTTCTGTTTCCCAGCTTTCTGGTGACTTTGACAGGCCTATCTTAAAATGAAAACAGGATCTTTTTTATTTTGTCTTCTCACTATTTTATGTATGTATTAGACAGTCCAGAGGAATGCTTCTCCGTCTTTGGGATGTACTATTTAGTTTAGGCTGCAATGCTTATGTTAGTAAATAGCAAGAGGAGAGCTGCTGCATCTTCTTCAAAACCTAGAAATGTGGCATCTCATTTCACCACTCTGGGAGTAATAAGAAGGTGCAGTGCTACCCTGCCCACTCTGAATCTTTTTGTGTATGCCAGCTCAATTCAAGCAAATTATTCCTTGGGGTAGACTTAGTTGTTAAAAACAGTTCTTCATTGCTATAGGAACCATAATTTATGTCATCTTTGGACATGTTTTGCCCAGTTTTCTTCCGTGTCATCACTGCATCAGAATTCTTCCTGTGTCACTTGCTGTTGTTAGACATCAAGGATGCTTTGGGATCCATGATGATAACATAACCTTAGCTTCTTACTAAGCATTTTTTGAAGCCCCAAAAAAGTCTGGTTTTGTTGATCATTATCTGAAATACAGGCATTTAACTTACGTAGTTTAATGATTCTTGCTTCAATGAGATCCTGAGACATATATAGCATAGAAATGTCTAAATACACCTGTGGATTTTGGTCATTGTTCTCAGAGTTGCAACTCAGTTCAGTTACGTTGTTTAGAAACAGATACCTATTTCAGGTCCTGAAAACAGATCTGTAATAAACCAGACTTGCTTGAATGGGTAACTTGTTCTATGTGGGATCCCTTTCTTCTTCACACTGGAGTACTGAAACAAAATCTGCCTTGGTACTGTCTAGATGGACCAGATCCTCTTAAATGCTGCTGCATTTAAGCAGCACCTTTGTTTCATACGCACTTCCATGTCAGACTCTATTGTGTCAGAGTGCCCCTCTGCTGCCATCTGTCACATGGCAACAAAGTGTAATGCAATATTGGTGGGAAGGTCCAACCTCTACTGCTGTATCACCAACATAAAATTGGAGTCATTGCTTCTGAAGCAGCCCTTAAAGATAGATATGGCCATCTACATTCCTGATCTAGAGAAAGCTGTTACTGGTACCCACATTTTATATATGAACATGTTACCTATTTGGTCACATATCAATTTGAGAGCAGGTTAACACCTCTGTTTTGAAAGGAGAGATTAGGTTAGCATTAGCTTGTCTCAAAATCTTTTGCTAAGTCTTTATTTAAATGGAAGAAAATTCTGAAAATCAACTTTTAGAGGTACTGTCCTGTTTCAGATACTTCCTCGCTTCTCCTGTTTTTCCGTTGCCCTTTACTAATTAATGGTTCATCTTTTATCTTATGAAATCCCTGTACAACTATCAAAAGCTGAATTATTGCCAGAAATGGGCAGAAGGACAAGATGAGTAATGAGGGAACAATCTCTTGTTTATAAATTGATCTTTCATCAGCAGTTTAGGAGAGCAGACTGAGAAAATAAGTAGAGCATGTTTTGAAAGTGTAGCTAAGCATGAATGTCCTTCTTAAGTATTAGCCTTACAGGCGATACTCGATGACTTTTTTGTCCTTCTCTTAAAAGAAGGATGGGAGGGGAAGTACAAAAATTGAGGCACTACTAGAAGATACTGTGAAGAAAATTAGGCAATTGGTGAAATGTGCCAAAGAGAAGGAAGCAAATATACCAAATAGTATTTTAGAGCAAGGGTTTTATGTTTTGATAGAACGGTGTGTTTTTTTTTTTAATTTAAAACAAAGCAAAACAGGAGGAGGGAGTGGGTTAGACTCATCATGAAGGTGTTTTGTCTTTTTTTTTTTAATGTTATAATTATCACCACAGACTATTAGGACTCTCAGAGCTTGACATTCACCACGGCGCTCTTACTTCAGACCTTGGTTGCACTCCCTTTTCATGTCCTGTGGGACATAGGGTCCTCTTGTCTCTCCATACTTACTTTCTCTTGCTTATATCTGCTATAACAGCTTTTCCTGCCAGGCCCATAGATTCTGTTTCTTCCCCCTCCACGTACAGGCTGCTGATCATTTTCTTGATTCCCTTCTTTACGACATAAAACATTCCTTGGAATTAATGCTGCCACTCTAAGATTGTGTCTGTAGGGATGTTTCCAGTTTGTTTCCAGTATTCAAAATGAAATTCTTGAGAAAAATGAAAACAATTGTTCTTGAAAAATGATGGAAGGACACCAATAGAGAGCAGTTGTTTGGTTGTGAAAGTGTTGGCACACTTCTGTTGGGTCTCTTCTGTCTGTTTCACTCCTTTACTGTTAGATCTCTGAGGAGTTCTGTCAAGAAAGGGACTTAAACGAACTTAAAATTTATGTGGAACCCAGCAAGAGGAAGTGATGTGTGCATTTCTTTTAATTCCACTGTAGAGTCCTTTCGTTAAGCATCTTTGCACACCCTGTAGAATGCAATTTCTGTGGGTGGCAGGGAAATTTTTTGGCTAAAGCATAGGATTAAGGAGATTACTATCTTAGTTTTAACTTGTGTTCAAGATTCTGGTAACTTCTTAAGAACCTCGGACAGCAATTTTACTCTGTGCTGTGTTCCTTCATCTCTGAAATGTGACTACCAGTCTGTTCAGTAGCGTGCTGAGCCTAAAACTGCAGAGTTCCATGGGGTGATTGCATGTGAAAGAAATGTGTAGAATTACAGCTTATTCAGTAGTTCTGAAGTGAGCACAGGATTGTTTTATTTCTTGTGCTCCCTGTTTGTTAGTGAGGCCTGATTTCTGCTCTCAGAGTAAGTAGACACTCTCACCAGTCTTCATTTTCCCACAGCAGTTTGCTGTGTTGGTCTGTATACCAGCTTTTAGCATCCTTTAGTATGAGTTTAATTTTAAGGCACTTTACTATACATAGTCTTTAAAGGTTAATGGGTGTGTCAAACAGTTTTTTGCTACTAAACCAGCTTTATACCAGGATAGAAAGGAGTTTGCAGTCTGATGCATTTATTGCAATTGTTGCTTCTCAGGAGGATATGTGCAATAGGGAGTTGAAAATGAAATTTAATTGACATATTTTACTTTTAAATGCATGATGAAGTAGTCTCTGCTTGATCTTACTGCCTCTGTCCTGGGAAGAGTGGGTATAGCTTGCTTTCAGGAAATTCTTTTTCAGTAAAATATGTTGGGTCTGTATTCAGTGTTCTTTCACTATGTTTCTTTTATGCTTTAATTTTAACAGTTTGCATTTTTAACATCTTTTATATTCAACCTAATGTTCAGCTAGTCTGGAGAAAATCTCTGACCACCTCATAACAGAAATCACTTTTTAAACCAAGCTCTTGTCCTCCCTCTACAGGAGAATTTGCAGCGTTCAAGTAGCCACAGCACCATGGCAGCACCCACTCTGTTATTTAAGTCTTGTGTTCCTACCGTTTCTTAACATCAAAACTCTATTCTGCTCCGACAAACCTAAAGTAATTTAGAAAAGATATCCATAAGCTTAAAAGTGGAGCGGAATGGAACTGCCAGTCCAACACAATGGGGAAAAGTACGTTTTTAGGAACCGGAATACTCCGCTGCCAGTGTTCCTCCTTCAACACAAAACACCACGTGCATTCGGATACCCGCAGTGGCTGCCTGAGCCGTTGGCATCATTCCCAGGAGAGAGGAGAGGGCGCTCGTGGTTTGACTTTGGTGCTCAGGCATGAGGGGATGGAGCTGCTGCTGCAAATTAGGAGACTTGCTTTGGATGGTCTGCCGGTCGGCTTTCTCCCTCTAATAACGTATCATCAGAGGCTGAATATCTGATGAGTGCTAATTAAAAGAATCATCCTTTGTTCTGATCTCTTTTCCTGGTGTACTCACTGGTTTGTGGACAATGCAGTATCCCCTTTTCACTGTATTAGAATGTCAAACGCCTAATTTTATCTAAATTTTTGGGTTCTATTCCAGTAAAATTGAAAAGTAAGGGGTAGTGGGAGCTGGAGATGGTGTTACTTTGAAGGCGAAGAGATTCATCTGAAGGAAAAGGGGATGCTGCTGCACTTTTTTTCAGATTTACTTTATCACTTCCTCAAAAAACAAATGACAACCACCAACCTTAACCTTTTCCTTTTCCAGTATGTTCTTGGTGTGTGCATATATAACATCTTTTAGAAGGGTTACATAGATCCTTCTTTTGTTGGTCCAGCAACAAACTGAAGTTTAAAAAAAAAAAAAAAAAAAAAAAACAAAAAAAAAAAAAGTAGCAATTTTGTCCTTTTTTTTTCTTTGTATCATATGATACAGTATATTTATCAAAGATGCTACCGCAGCATCTGAAGTCTGTAAATTCCTGATACAGGCTGTGAACGGTGTATGTACCTACTTTAAAAGTTTTATTTTAAATGAGGGTGCAGGTTAATGCCAGGTACCTTACCAATATGTAATGTTTTCATAATTGAGGAAAAAAGTTCTCAGGTTGAATTGAATACAAATACAGAACCCCCTAGAATTAGACATTCCATAAATTGTTTTGGTACTTTCAGGAGCTGTTTTTTTTTGTTGTTGTTGTTGGTTTTTGTTTACTTTTTTTTTAAAAAAAAAAAAAAGGATTTTTATCCTGTTAACTAAACGTCCTCTGATAAGTGTGTGTGTAAATGTGGAGCATCTTGTCCTCATGGCAAGTTGTGCGATCAAAACAAAACGGTACTTGCTGGATCCACGCCGATTCCTTCTCCTCACATTGCTTCCTTCCCTGTGATCTCCTTCCCTTCCGTTTGTCTTTCCCTTTTGTACTCTTTGCAAACTAGGATGACGGTGGCAGTATCTACTTAGGAGTGCTCTGTTTTCCTGTCCTCCAGTCCTGGTTTTCAAACGGTCGGTAGCTTTCTTACAAGTTACCCAGTCAGGGAAAATAGCTCATCCAATTCTGCACATTGTTTACCTCTAGTAGAATATCTTGTGATGTGATCTGTTTGCGGAGTTCTCTGGTATGTGGTATTACATGTAAATTATTTGTACAAAGGCAAGTCAGACCACATTAGAAAGAAATTCAAGCTCAGAAGTTTTCAGGACTTGATTCCTGTCTGCCCTGTACCACCCCACCTGAGGCAGGAGAACTGACCCACCTCTAGCTGGGAGGTTCCTGGGGTGAGGAGGATGTTAGTCAAAATCACGGCAAATAAATGAAGGAGTTAAATGTGTGTAACGTGGTGTCCGTACTAAACTGTGTAAAGGGTGAGGACGCTGTCCTTCCCTTGCAAGGAGTTGGACTGTTCCTGTCTGCACAACGCCGCTTCCAGGCTATGGGAGAAACACACATCGGTAGTGGAATGTGTTTCTAAAGCCTTGGAGTTCTGCAGTGTTGCTGGTAGTCTGTTCTTTTTGTCAGAAAATATTTACTGGGGTTATAGGGACCCGACTAATCTGAAGTGGGAATTATAGCTGAAATACTGTGTATTCATATTAATTCCACAAACATTAGCAAGACAGCAATAGTAAATGACTTAATAGTCGCTACAAGAATGAAGCGATTCATGTTGATACATGAATAGAATTGACTTTGTGTACAGGATGCATTTAAAAAAAAAAAAAAAAAGCACAATTTTTTTCTTGTCTGCTGTGGGTCTTCAGATGCTGTAAGGCTTTTCTCCTTATTGAGATTGGCAGGAACTTCCATAGTAGCAATAGCCACTTCCCAGTGCGGAGGAGCTGCTGAGGTGAGCGATGGTGTGGAGCCCAGGTGGAAGCAGTGCAGGGCCGTGTGCTCAGCAGGCCAGGAGCGTGCCCAGGTGTGAGCTCCAGGAGGGCAAAGCCACCCCGTGCGTTGTGTCAGCCCTTGTGTAGGCAGTGCCTGGTTTGTAAGCGTAGGGCATACTGGAAATTGATATTCTCTTGAAAGAAACGATTATCTGAGCGACTGTGTACAGGTAGTTCAAGAGTCATTTGTTTCATAGAGCCCGTTAAAAGCCCTAGTTTCCTTCCACGAGGTCATGCGAGCAGAAAACTGCTAAAATATAACTGATAGGAATTTCTTTGCTTAAAATGAACTTATTTTTGTGGAGATTCATTACCCATTAGTCTACAGTATGCTTCTTGAGCCCATAGGAAAAGCACAAGGAAAATTGCTCTCCTTGTCCATGCGAAGCACTTTATAAGTAACAGATGGTCTTTGTCTTGTTGGTTGTTTTTCTTATTTAGGGTTTCTTTGTTTTGTTTCTCTGTTTTGTTTGTTTTTATTTTTCCCTGAGGAATGTGCAAGTTGTTTGGCTGCTGTGTAGAGAAGTCATTTCAGGATGCGTTTCTCCTGGTTTTCATATTTGTTTCCCTGCAATTTTGTGTTTTCTCTGTAAGAGGTCCCACGTAACACTCATGGAAACCTTTGGAAGAAATTTGGTTTGTAAATAATTGTAATTTTTTTTTTTAATCTTTCAAGAATTGTAATGGATGTCTCACATGCCATCAGAATCAGTCTTAAAGTTGCCCTGAAGATGTTTAGTGAATGGAGAGATGAGTAGGCAAGAACTGGGGATCCTGTATAGCAGTGGAATGCAGGAAATAAATTGAAATGACAAATAGATTCACATCAATTGCACAAAATTTCTTATGCTTTTTTATGGCATCCCAAACATGAACACATGCCATAGTGTGGGAAATGATAGCATGTATTTTGTGTGCATATGTTGGGACAAACATCTAGACAGTCACGTTGCTTTCAGCACTGCAGTATCTAGTAAGTTTTCAAAACTACCAGTATCCAGTCCCAGCTACTCACAAGGTCTTTATTCACCACACACCTTCCCCTTTCCAAACAGTTAGAAGAGACTTGTTACATCTCCCTCTTCAGCAAGTGACTGTTTTCTATGGTGTATTGGCTGGAATTGGAACACTGGCAAGGTGTAAGCCAAAAAGTATCAGCACAAAGGCCTCGTTATTTTGAAAGTAATTTCTGCGTGAATTAATCCTGTATGTTTTTTTAATTATTCCTTAAATTCATGCATACCATTAAATGAATCCCATTCTATTTTTCATGCATACCTAAAATAGTTTTTTCTTGCACTGGAATGCTTTCGTAGCTGATGGTGATGCAGAACATTTGAGGTCTCACAGAGCCATCTTGTTGTGGCCTCTTAGAATTGCCTGGATTAGTATGTGCTCATTGGAGGCAGAATTTGGCCTTTATGACATAATGAAATGCTGGCTGTCGATAAATACCAGGAATTCCACGAACAAGGGAAAGGGAAGAAACACCAGAGGTTGTTCATAAATAGGGTTGTTTCTGTGTGCGCCTCCAGTGTTTTGCAGAGTATCTGGAGCAGCCAGATCCTCAGAAACTCCACAGTCAGCTGTATGTTAAGGTTTTGATAACTGAAGGGGCTAGATTTAGGGAAGAAGCCTGTAGATTTCACACCTTTACCGCCTGTAAATGTAATTCCTTTCTTGACTGTGAGTACAACATGCGTAGCACAAACTATCCGTAGTACTGTAGACAACGTGTCTTTCTGTCTGTTGAAAAACGTTTCACCAGTAGCACAATATGGCAGGCAAAGCGTCTAGGTACAATCAAGTTCACTGAAAAATCAGTTGCATGAATGGGCTGCTGTGGCATCACTTTGAAGGTGCTGGGTTTTCTGTTCTTCGTTTTACGTAGAAGTTCATGAAACAAACTCTTGTTTACTGCAGCCATGTTAATGTGTGCTTGCACTCTACATTTGCTTTGGCAGATACGTATCTTACCTAGAAAATGAAGTCATTGAAAGAGCAGAGCAATGACGCTAACATAAAAGCTACTAAGTCAGCACGAAGACAGCACTAAGTAATTATGAAATTGTGGAGGATACTTATTAAAAACTGCAGAATATAGAGGATACCAAGGGCAAATTCTATATGAAACTGGCATGTACCTTTTCTTCAGAAAATAGAGCTACCAAGACCTTCTGTTAAATGGTTTACGTAAAGATCCCCCAGAAGAGTCTTTGCAGTTTGCCAAATGATCATGTGCCTTCGCAACCTAAAAAAGTACAACAGAATGTAAACCAGGTGCTTTGTAAGTGGGGCAGTGGCTTTGGTTTACTTCTGATGCAGTAGTTTTGTATATAGCTGTTAATACTGATAGGCGGTTTGAAGTTGGTGAACTTCTATAAAGGAGCAAGGAGAGCAGGGAACATTCCCAAAAATGCCTGCAAATCATTTCGGAGCTAGGAGCTGAAGTATACTAACTTGGTTACAGCTATTTGAAACCTGCTCTACTGAAACTGAAATGAGGTTAATTTAAATTAAAAAATAAAGAAGCCCTCCTTTCCCTCCAGAGACACAAGGATCCTGTTAAAGAGAAGTAATATAAAGATTTGGAGAGGGCTGAAGTTATTATATGGCCATAGTATCTTAGAATGAGACAATAGGTGAAAATGAGAACTAAATTAGGAGTAATTGATGGCTAGTACTCATGTAATGAAATACAGTGAATTCCCTTGCCCTGAAAGTGCAATTAATTTTGTTTTATGGAATAGCAGCAGGCTTCCTTAGCTCTTCCTCAAGCCTCTTGCAGTTTCACAACACCAAGTGTCATTGTGCATTGATGCTGGGAGAGGATAGGTACCTTGTCTGCTGAGGGACGGCCGGTGTGTCCGAGTCTGAGCTGTTCAGATTGCGGCCTGCTGCTCACCGAGGCTTCTGGCAGTACCTACATACTGGTGTCCTGTTTGACCTGTTTGTCCATAAGGATGAAAGAATGGATTTCGCTGTTAGTGCTTTTTCTTTTGCAGATCTTTTCCTTTTGTTTTTTGGTGTGAGACTTTGGGCCTAACTGTAAGTGGCAGAGTTATGTCTGAATGCACAGCCCATACAAGTCCCAGGCTGATTTTAACTTGTTCTTTGTTCCCTTTAGAAATAAGCATAATTTTAAAACATGTTTTACTAACACTGCAGGAACTGTCTGAAATTCTTTTACTGGCCCCAAGTTCTGCACTAAAAGTACACATACAGAGACAGTGTTTTGTCCTTTTTAATACAAAATCACAAGGAAGTCACTTCCCTATTTTTTCCACCAGAAGGGAAATGATGGGAGTGTTCAGAACTTCTGAACTGCCTAGGTGTTTGCTTTATAGAGCAGCAGTGTGCTCAGCTCCTCCAGTCCCTTTAAGAGCCAGCCGAGGCCTGTCCAGTCCTTTTGTCCAGCTTATGGCATTTGCAGCAGCTGTACTTCAGAATAAGCCTTGTGTGACATTGGCTTTGCAGTATCACAGAAAAGCAAAGGATCGCGTTCTTTTTCATTTGGGTTTGGAAAATGGTTAATTTTTGTTTTGCTGAATGTCATTCTGTGTTGCATTTGTGTAATCACCGTAGTTGAAAAGAAAATCTGTTTGAGCTTAACGGAACAGAAGAAACGAAGCCCACTGTCTGGGCACAAATGTTGGGTATGGGGTGCAAAATGGACCAAACTGGGGGGTGTTGGGTTATTTTGGGATGGTGGGGGATTGTGAGGGCATAATTTAAATTAAATTAACTCTGTCTAAAATAAAATGTAAGTGCAATAAATGTGCTTTTTTATTCAAAGCTGTGAACCTTTAGGGGTAAAAAAAAAAAAAAAAAAAAAAAATGCACATCATTCCTTTGTGAGCCTTGTGTCCTACCTGTCTCCTCTTCCTTCCCCACTCCACCCTTCTCAACTGACAGATACCCAGCAGCAGCCAACTTGCATGTGTTGGCAACCCAAATCACACTGCTGTGTTTCTTCCCATCTCAGCTGCTGGGACTGGGGAAAAGTCCTGCTCCCTGCTGCTTGCCACCCTTGAGACTCCTCTGGGAGCCCTTGCTGCTCGAGCAGGTCTGCAAGTGTTCAGGTAAGGGAGCCGGCCCGTCTGCTCTGCAGTCCCCCCAGCTCCCTTTGGGGTTCCCCTGCCAGCCCTTTGCCCATGACTCCCCACCCTGCCACAGCTCTCCTGGCAGCCTCCCAGGGCTGGACAGATGACACTTTCTCTTTAGCACCTGCGAAAAGTCATCAGTCATCAGCTGCCTCATTGGATCCATTTCCCTCTGTCAAAACACATGTGCAGACTGGCCGCTGTTGCCTTCCGTGACTCTGCCTTGTTTTGAAGGAGCAGGTATACCTGCTTGTAACCAGTCGCGCACTGGTTGCCCTTTCTCTTTCTTACTTGAGCGTGTGCTGCTCTTCCTAGGGTAGGAAAGGGGCAGCAGTCTCGCTCGGGGTTCTGCAGGAGGCTTACTGCATACTTTTGTTAAACAGGGATGGAAGGTGCTGCACTCGGTCACTCGGTCGTTGGACCCTGTGGGGAAGTAAGAAAGGACTGGCACGTTTAAAGTTTATAGATACAGACATCTATATCCTTTAAACTTGATTATTTTTATATATAGTCAAGGCATTGGCATTACCTCATAATACAGAGGCTTGTTTATGGGAGGCAAACCAGTAAGGAGAGGAAAGGGAAATTCATATACAGATTTGATTTCTTGGTTTCTTAGTGCAATGAAACGTACGTCCCACCCATTTGAACTGTGCTAACACAACATTCCTCTCTGCTGTGTTTTGTTGACCACCAGAGGTTTGTGAGGGGCTTACGACGACAACATAAAAGGTCCAGTCCAGTTACTTAAAAAAAAGCAATTGTGTTAGTAGATTTCCATGGCTGCTTTTCAAAGATCTTACAATGGAGTAATTGTTTGGAAACTTGTATTTATTTTCTAATTCATAACAAAATGTTTATTTTCAGTTTTCTGTTACGTAGAAGGTCATGGCAACCCCCCTTCTTTCCCTCTCGAGTCTCCCCTGTAATTGCCAATACAACTTATTTTTCTTGTTTGTTCCCTTCCCCTTTACTTTTGTTGTCCCTTCATTTGTATTTTGGAGTTTTTTCTCATGTAAATTTGTACAATGGGAAATATTGTCCAGTTTGGTTAGAGAGCATGGAGACTTAAAACATATTAAAATTTGATAGCTGAATTCAGATTAAAGAAAACTATTTCTGTGTAAAGTTATTTAAAGAACTCTGTATTATATAAAAGGCAAAAAGTTCTATGTACTTGATGTGAATATGAGAATACTGCTATAATAAAGATTGACTGCATGGAAAAGTCTGAAGGAGATTGTTTATTGGATCATTCCCAAGTCACTCTCTTCACAGTGTTCCACAAGTAATTTAATAGAAGTTTATTTCTGTATGGTTAGTTTGGAACATAAGACTGGACCTAGAGAGTAACCCACCTCCATTTGTCTTCCATATGCAGGAGGGCCACTGAGATGATCACAGGGCTGGAGCAGCTCTCCTATGAGGAAAGGTTGAGGGAACTGGGCTTGTTTAGCTTGGAGAAGAGAAAGCTCCAGGGAGACCTCATTGTGGCTTTCCAGTACTCGAAGAGAGCTTATGAACAGGAGGGGCTGTTTACATGGGTTGATAGTGATAGGACAAGGGGGAATGATTTTAAACTGAGACAGGCGAGGTTTAGGTCAGGTATTAGAAGGAAGTTTTTCACACAGAGAGTGGTGACGCACTGGAACAGGTTGCCCAGGGAGGCTGTGGATGCCCCATCCCTGGAGGCATTCAAGGCCAGGCTGGACGTGGCTCTGGGCAGCCTGGTCTGCTGGTTGGCGACCTGCACACAGCAGGGGGTTGGAACTTGATGATCATTGTGGTCCTTTTCAACCCAGGCCATTCTATGTTTCTATGATTCCTCGAATGCTGTGTTCAGCACACTTACTTCCCAGCATTAGTGATGGATTTCTGCTACCTGAAGGAGATTCCCTCTCAACCTAAGGAGATCTGGGCACACCTTCCCTTCTCCCTCAGGCAGCTGCACCTGCTCCTGCAGCAACTGCTGCTCTAAGCCTCAAGGCCGTTTTTTATGACAAGATTTCAGTAAGAAATCTTTTAGAACTGTAGAAAAACTAATTTAATGAGTCAAATTTTGCTGCCCTTTCTAGTGGCTGGCAGACACTCAGCGGTTAAGTCCTTCCCTACCACCCATGTGCTCTGTAAGTCACTGCCTGAACAAAGATGTATCACCTCAGTTAGAGGGGCTCACTTTAAACGCTTCACAAGGATTAAACAGGCTCATTTGGACTCAAACACCCCAATTCTAGAACTCTCCAAGAGAAGGAATGTGACATTTACGGCACTCAACAACACCACAGCTCAGCATTTGTCAACAGCTCACTTTATTGAGACCGGGACAGCAGAGCAAAGCATCAATTCCAGGGCCTCCTCAGTTCCACAGACCTGCAAGCAACCGAATTGACTCCCAAGAAAGTTCCGGCCAGTCCCTCCCACAGCTGAGGGCAGGGCAGACCCCAACATCGCCCTGCCGCCTTCAGCTGTAGCCGCTCAACACGGCACCCCGGAAGAGACGGCGAGAGCGCAAAACCCGCCCCTACCTTCACCTCTGCGACTGCGGTGCCTACTCGGCGTCGTCGGGCGGGATGCCGAGCTCCTCATTCGTCCAGGCCGAGGAGTCGGGGTACGGGAAATGGCCCTGCGCCACGACACGTCCTCAGATCCCGCCCCGGGCACGGCCCCACCGCCCCCCGCCGTTACGCCGGGCCTCACCAGCACGCTGTCCGAGCTGTGCCAGAAGTGCCACAGGATCCAGAACCACATGAAGCCGCTCAGCAGCTCGCTCCGCACCACCTGCAACCGCGTCAGCTCCGGGAACTGCCGGTATCGCGGCTCGATGTGCACGTCGCCGCCCGCGCTGCAACAAACGCGCAGCAGCCGCCTCACTCCCGGCTCAGCCGTCCTCGCCCCGGCCCCGCCGCCCCCGTTCTCCCCGTTCCGTCCCACTCACTGCCGCCTCCCGGCCGCGCCGCCGCCGGCCCGCAGCAGCCGTCCCGCCGAACGCCCCAGCGACGCCAGCATGGCGGCTCCCCAATGTCACAAGCCGACGGCCTGGCAACCTCCCTGATCGGTCCGCTCCGCCTTTACCAACAACGGCCTCTCCGATTGGCCTGCTTCTCCTTACCGAGCGACGGCCTCCCCGAATGGTCCGTTCCGCCCCACCAAGCGACGACCGATCCGCCTCATGCCGAGTGGCGGCGTCTCGCTCACGGGGGCGGCAGTCGGCTGTGCAGAGCTGGCATCTCCCACAGGGGATACGTGGGAAGGAGCGAAGGGACCTTCCGGGCTCTGCAGCGAGCCTTTCACCCGAGGAGGAGGCGGTTTGAGAAGGGAGGTGAAGAAAAAGCTCGCTCCTTTCCCCCTCCAGGCGACGCAGTTGGTGCAGCCCACGGCGTCTGGTCGCGCAGCAACGGGGAGCGGACGCTCCGGTGCGGGTCTGCCCGGCCGCTGTCCCGGCGGCCCTCAGCTGCATCTTGCGGGGCTTCCCGCCTGCTAGGCGGCCTGGGGCGCTCCCAGCACGGCGCAGCGAGGTGCGCGGGCAGAGGCAGCAGCGCTGTGCAGTGCGGAGGTGAGCGGCAGGGCTTCTGCTGTGCTGCTGAGTCCCGCCTCGGCTGCAGGGAGTTCCTTGCTGTGACCTGGCCAAGTACGGAAATGCCCTGTCAGGGAGTTCACATCTCGCCCAGGTGAGCACTTTCACGTGAAGTTGTAAAAGCAACTCTACAGAGATTTCTAAGTTTTCCTGGTGAAGTGCCATCACGTGTCCTTGTGGAGGGAAGAGAACCCTCAGCCCATCAGCTGATCCCAGACCTATACAACCGTGTCCTCCCTCTCTTAAGCCGTTTCTGTGCTACTATTCCTTTATTTTTCATGTGGAGTTTAAATGACTCCAGTTATACGTGCCTTTGTTTATGAATGCTGTAAAATTCTCTTGCCTCACTTTTAAAGTTACGGAGAAATTCGGAGCATGAGCTCAGTGAGAGGTGGTCACACCTTGGAGGCAGGTTGCTTTTAGGGTGGAGGCATGGTTTGGTTTCATAATGAAGGCACAATGAACAAAGTTCACCCAGAGGATGGTGTTTTGTCAAAGAACGGCACGCTGTTGGCTCAGGGTGGCAAAAGTGAGGCTCATTAGTTCCATATTAACGTCAAGTTCCCATCCTGATCATGGTATCATAGAGCCTGGCCTCAGTGTCTTCACTTCACCTTCCTTGCTGTTTCTGTGAGTCAGCATATCCAGCTCCACAGTGTTGCCAACTCCTAATGTTGCCTAAGGAACTTCTGCAGAATGGATTCCTTGTATACCTGCATTACCCTGAGCAGATATGGCTCACCTGCAGTGTTTGGAGCCACAGCCCACCAGTCTGTGTAGCTGTTCACCGACGTACTTGCAGAGTAGGAGGAAATCAATTTCTTGTGGACAACAGGTACCCACAGAGTGCTCACTGGGAGATTCTGCCTGTGAAGGAGGCAAGCAACAAGTCATGGAGGAAGTTGCCAGACAAAGTGGGGGGTCCTCTCAAGTGATCAAAGTCCCCCCTGCTGCTCCTGCAAAGGTACAGTGCATACTGGTTATCCCTCCTGAACCTTTATTGGATGGCATTTCATCCATCAGAACTGGAGGAGAGCTCCAGTGGCCTTATTTTGCCTGGTAATTTATAAACTAAGTAAATCTGGCATCTCTGTGGTGGCCTAAGGCAATATGTTGGCATAGCCACCCTTCTAATTGTACACTACTTGTACCTGAAGTCTTTGTCTGACAGGAAAGGGAACATTCCCCATGGCTTCTAAGCAAAAGGCATTGTCACAGACACTTGGGGTCAAATCCAGGTTTAATTTGGCCTAGCAGTACTTGCTTCTGCAGGGCCGTCACGTGGCTCCAGGGAACTCTGCCAACCAGCACATGCAAGGAGTTGTCACTGGCAGCTGGAGGTGCCAGAGGAAAGCACAGGTGCCAGGCCTTGGTTGTATGCTTTCTTTTCTGGGTGACTTGACAGCTTTGCCTACCTCTCATTCATAGACTTTGATATTGTTTTACCTGTAGGCAGAGTGGCAGAATACCATCTTTTAATTAAATATAAAGATAATATATGGATAATATTTTTCTAAATGAGCTCTAAGTTTCTAACATCCTAAGCTGCTGCATCTAACAGTCCTCCACTGACGTAACATGAGTTTACATGTCCATCCTCACAAAGATTTAAGGTACGTGTAGTTACTGGGATTTTAACTTCCCTGCTCATCAGTTTCATTACAGACAATTTAATTTCAGCAATGCTTCACAGGGAATAGTGGCAAACTACTGAACTGCTGTTTTTATTGAGCACTTAATTAGTGCAATGTAAGTTTGTTACATTTTGTTTCATTTCTTTTTCACAAAAACTGAATGCTGTAATACAGAGCTCGTAGTTTGGTTGTCCTCACAACTTCCCTACTTCCTTCTGTTTTGTCTTTCACTCCTCTCGTTGTCCCTGGCACTTTGTTACCTTTGTCATCATTCTCAAACATTTCACGTGCCATCCTCCTCCCCAAGCTCAGCTACTTAAGATCCAGACTGTTTGTGATGAGAGTACAGCTAAACAGCATTGTGTGGCAAAAGAAATGATGTGATAATTAAATCAGAGCGAAGTACCACACTGGAAATCAATTTCCATTTTATAAATAACATTGCTGCTTAGAGATTTAAGTGTTCAAAAGCCTCGTGTTGCTCATATTGTGCTTCCATCTTCTTCCCACCTCCAGATAATCTCCATGCCCACCTCCCATGTCCCGTGTTGTCACACAGCCAGTAAAGCTCTCTATGGCTCTGTGCTGCCAGGATGTCCATTAACACAGTAAGTTCAAAAGCTGTCGATGAGTCACATGCAGAGAAGGAAAAAAGCTAGGAAACAAAGGCAGCTATGAGGGATGGGGGCTGGAGAGATCCCATGTGGGTTTGGTTTGTTTTCATTACAGCAAGCTGCAGAAGTACTGTTACTGGGGTCTCCTGGTATTTGCTTTCTACAGCCTTCCTGTTTGTGCATGGAACCCAGACTCCATTTGTACGTCCCTGATATCCTCAGCAAGATGGAACTTCATTCACTCATCCCCAGAGGCTTCCAGTTTTATAAGGGGGGCTCGTGTGCTGGCAAGGAGGAAAGCTGATGGCTATTACTACCTGGGCCACATCACACGACAAGTGAAGGTAGTTATTTATTGTTCAGTGAGTCTTTTTTCTTGCCCTTGCCATGGCTTGCCAGTCCCACAGCCCTGGTGCAGAGTTGCTCTCCTGTGATACAGCACAGTTCTCTCCCCGTATCTTATTTTCATCTTTTTTTTTTTTTCCTTTTTTTCTGATGATGATGGGATATTTACTGGGAAGAGTTCTGCAAGCAGAAGCAGTCTGGAAATCAATCAGTTTCCTTGGTTATGAAACAGTCAAACTAAACAAGTCCTTCATTTCCCAATTGTCTGCTCGTAATAGTAATTCAAAACATCCACCTCCAGAAACTGCTTTCTCCTGACTGAACTGAGGGCTTTCATCGATCTCTTCCTTCTGTGTTTCTGTGACATGATTTAGGATACCAGATAGAAAATGTCCCCTGCAGTCTTCCTTTTAAAATCCCATTCGTTTTTCCAGTTCACAGTTTAGTTGAATAAATAGTGATCCTAGTACAGGGATGGAATAGCTGTTGGCCATCAGCATGTAAATGCACCCAGATCTGCAGAGAAGGCTGAGATTTTGGCAGTAGAATCTGCCCCACACCCATTGCTGGAAGCTTAAGTGAAGGCATTCAAATTCATGGTAGCTGTGACACTTCCCTCATCTCTTTTGCTTTGCTTGTCTCTAGCTGCATCATACCTAGTACTTCATTTTGGCTGCTCTTCTGATGGATGATTTTCCTGGTGAGCTTCTTTCTCAGAGTGCCAACTGTGTTCTTCTGAGTCAGGTTAACCTACTAAAATCTAAGTCCCAAAAGAAAGGAAGGGAAAGGCTGTCAAGCCCCTTAAGCCACAGCTTTTTAATTACTTTTAAAATCCAATATGGATACAGTATGGTGAAAAACCTGGTGGTAGAGGACAACTACATTCACAGATCACATTCTGCTTCCTGGGATTTCTGCCATTTTCCTTTTAGCACTTGTGTTTGGCCGTTAATTGGACCCAGATGTCTGTCTTGCAAACTGCATGTTTTACTCTTGTAGGGCTCCAGGGAATGTTTTTTAATTGAGTTTGACAAAAGTTGCACACTGAAAGGCAAGGTGCAGCTTCGTATGCAGGAAACACCTCTCTACGACATTCTGCACTACGAAGGTGCCTCGCAGCGGTGCCTCACTCCAGGAGACAGAGTCTTGGCCCCATGGGAGGCTAACACTGAACGCTTTGGCCCGGGCACTGTGCTCAAGGTTATGGAAAACAAGGAGACACCTTTAGGTATGGGGTACTGCCTTCCTTTCTAGCTCTAGTCTTGCCACAGTTGATGGCTGCTATGTAGAAAAGATGGAACAGTCTCGACTGTGAAAAATTCTCCACCTGCTTCTTGGTTTCTCTTCCTGGTTGGTTTGTGGGTATTTTTTCTCAGTGGCAAACTTTTTCAGCTCCCAGCACCAGCCTTTGCTTTCTTCTGTGAATGGAAACCTAAACTGAGGGTTTTTGCTGGGAGAGGGGGGTCCTGCCAACACAAGGAGAAAAATATTCCTGGCCCTTATGAGTTTCACCTAATAAGCTATTAGTCTGGTTTCCAGCTTTTATGGAGTGAGCTCCTGGCTCACTGTGACTAGTGGGAGTTTTGCTGTTGTGTATCATAGGAAATTCAAACGGTCGAATTCTAAACCTCTAAGTAAAAAACTCATATAAGTTGTAACAAATTGTGTGTAACACAAGCAGTCATTTTGATCATCTGGTTTCTGAGAGACATCACGCAGGTTGATATGTTTCTAATATGTTCTTTGTCTTTTCTTTCTCTCTTTTTCTTTTTTTAATGTGCTCAGCACACAATAGAAAAGGAGTGCTTGTAAATTTCTGGAATGGGCAAACTAAGGAGGTATCTTCTGACCAAGCTCTGTGGATCCCTCTGCCCTTAAGCGAGCGCATCATCCTAGAACTGCAGATGCCATTGGCAGCCAGGCAGATGGTGGTGGAGTCAAGCTTGGACTACCCATACATTGTGGCACCAGGTTACAGAGCTTCAGGCTGTTACAGATGGGGCCACTCAGGGCTGGACTGCTGGCCAGGGGGGCTGTGTTCAGTTCAGCCATGCACTAAGTGCAGCTGTAGGTGTGCCTTAGCTCCCCACTGCTGCCTTGCAGCCTGCAAAAGCCCACAGCCTACAGAGCACAAAGTGCGGCAAGAAAATTTTGTCATCCCAGGAGCATCCTTGAGTAAAGAAGAGCTCAGCAAGAAAATAGAAGAGCAACTGTCTGAAGTGAGGATTTCCCCTTCAGGAAGCGTTTCCAAAGAGGAAGAGGAAAATGAAGAGAAGAGCTTGATGACAGAAAATCTTCCAAAAGATGCTCAGTCTTGCTTGGAAGAGGACAGTGAGGTTTTAGGCCCTAAGAAGGTAAAAAGTATTTCATACTATCTCTTAACACGTAGTCTGCTATCTGCACGATTTCTTTTTTGTTAGCTTACATTTTCTGTTCTTGGTATCAGAAAATTACTAATGGCTTTGGATGTGGCCCTTATGTATGCCTCCTAAAGAACGGAGACTCTGACTTTATTTGTAGTTGTATTCCTAATCCTTTGACCTGGGAAGGAGCTAAAAGCTGCTGTTCTTTGTCACTGGATGTGTGGTGTCTAGCCCAGTTCTTCCACATTCTGCCTCTGTGTGAAAGAGGCACAAAAAAGTGTCAGATGAAAAACTTCATACCAGATAAGGATTATAGTAAGGATTCCTCCATACCAGGGCAGTCCTTGGCATAATTATATGAAAAGATTTAATCACCCAGGGTGCAGGTATCACTTCTGTGAATCAGAGACCAAAAGTGAGTTTTGTGATGTTAGTGGCTGATTTGGTGCCTGTGAATGGAGCACTGGGTGGGGATCAGGAAGGAGGAGGCTGATGTGCACCAACTGCTGCCGAGCTTTGCCCCATTGCTCTGTGAGAGCTGGAATGCAGCTGCCTTCCAGTCAGAGCTTCTTTGGCCTGATCTTTTTTGTGCCCCTCCAGACAATTCCAGGCCACTTTCTAGGTCGTTTGAAGATGTGGGGAAAACAGAAACATGATGAGAAATTAATCTATTTAAGGGTTCTTTGTTTCTTTAGTGAAGAACTCTACCCCACTTGTTTTAATTCTTCCCAAACTTCAGTTGCAACATAAGATCTGTCACTCTAAGTTCACAAAGCTAACTTATTCCTCATCAGGTCAGATTATGATTGCATTTCTTCGTATTTCTAGAGTCCTCAGAGGGAGATGGCTCATGCTACAATGGTTGATACTGCTGTCAACACAGACAGTTGCTTGATGGAGTCAGTCCACAAGGAAGAAGCAGGCAGCAGACAGCAGGATGCTGGAACAGAGGCTCATTTTAAACATAAACATGGTAGTGAAATTGTAGCTATTTTATCCAGGCATAAGGCTTTCCACACAGAATCATTGTGGAGGGCCACAGTGTTCTACTGCCATAGTTCCCAGTGTGTCAAACGAAAATGTCAATGCCACCCTAGATATAATGGTAGTTTGGCTTGAGATGTGCTTTTTTTTTCTCAGGGTGAAACTATTTCCAGATGGAAGTTGGAGTGATTTGGGTTTGATTTTCACAGAATCACAGAATCACAGAATTGTAGGGGTTGGAAGGGACCTCCAGGGATCATCGTGTCCAACCCCCCTGCCAAAGCAGGTTCCCTACCGCAGGTTTTCATGTTTTTTTGCCTTTAAAGCTATTACAGTAGCAGCTTTGGGGTTTTCTTAACTTTTATTGTAACACTTACTACAAATATTATTAATTCAAAAAAATTTCTTGCTTTAAAAAGTCATCTGTAGTGTTAGCTATGACTGGACGTAGCAAAATTATTTCACCAGTCATTCTACAGGAAACACCCCTTTTCTTATTTGTGCTGAAAACTTTTGCTTTGCAATGTCTCTGTTGTTCCCTTATCATTCAAAAGGTTTTGGATCGTGATTTCAATCGAGTTGGTACTGTTCTCATTTAAGCTACTTTTGGGATAAGTGCAAGCATTTCACTAAGGTTTCTGAAGGCTTAAAGCTTTTTCCAAGTACTACAGCTTTTACAGTGCTCAGTTGCAGTGCTGGTGGAAGGAGAATGCAGTCAAACATAAGCGTGTATTTCCTCCCAGCTGATGTTCCTGCATTGTTCCATGCAGTAACTGCTCTCTCAATCTGCACTGTCTTTATCAGGAAGATTCAAGCAAACTCTGCCCATGTTCTCAGTTACCCAAAAGCTAGGGAACTGTGCTAGCAATGTTGTGCACATGCTGATTTCTCCTGTCTCTCAGTAGGATTCATAGCTGAGGCTTTGCACTATCAACATATTTATCATTTTTGGCTATTTAAGAGCACTGGCAGAAGAATCTCATGCCTGTCCACAAAGTAACATGTAAATAAACCCTTAAACTGAGTAGCTGTAAGTGTAGTCAATTATCTTGTATTAAAGTGATCCTGTAAAAAACATGCTTGACTGCAATGGCAAGCTTGTTTTTTGGAGCACTGGGACCTGTTCTGTGGAGACTAAGAAACATCTCATTTTGTCAGAGGAAAACATTGATACTTGTTATAAAAGTCTTGCTTGAACATATCTCATGTGAAAAGACTTTTAAAATTTTTTTTCTTTTTATAAGCTGCCTACTTGCTATGTCCCTGCTTAATTTATTTAAAAGGTCTTTTTGAGTTCAGAGTGGCAGATGCTCCAGTTCAACCTTCCCAAAGGATCACTTCTCCCAAAGGAGCCAGTGCCTTGTGTCCTTTCCAGCGACAGAGCTTCTTTGACCAAGTGCATCAGTCACTAAAGAAAGACAGCCTGGCCATTGAATCAGCCCTGCATGTACAGAGACCACGCAGTACCTCCAGTGCACAAGCTGGGAGATTCACAAAGCTAAGTCTTCTAAAAGACAGAAGCATTTCAGTAAGTATTTGATCCAGTAGCTTTTAGCTATTAGGACTGGGTGATTTGTTTATGTCAAGTGAGATTATACTCCCATTTGATCTCTTTCCCAAAGATTTTTGCTGCAACAAAAAACATGCACATGTAGAATAATGTTTGTGCATAAGTGGAAGGGTAAGGTTTCCATTCAGTGGTGTACAGGAACTGGGCACTTCTGCTATTTGTGCTCAGCATTTCTGAGAGCCTCTCCTATAATAATAATGAGACTGGCAGGGACAGTAATAATAGGGAGGCAGTGGACATGATTTTGAAGGTCTTGTGGCATTTCCCAGCTCATGGTATTAGAGATATCTCCCTCCAGTTCTTTCTGGAGAATGTTTGGTTTGCAGAAGAGTGGCTAATGGCAGGGACATGCCAATTGCTGCTGGGAGTAGAAGGGAGAAAGCATTTGAGAGAGTAAGTATTTCGTCTAAACTTTATTTTAGCTTTTAGCAGCCATGGTGTAGTAGCAGAACTGCTAAGTCATGGCTTGAGACAGTGGTGGGAAGGCAGGGCCAACCCAGGGGAGCTCAGGTGCATGTAATGTACCTGAGTGAGGAGAAGGGCTGGAGCCAGGATCTACCACTTCCCAGACCTCATGTAAGGGTTGGCAGTGGAGGTAAGGGGATCTTGCTGGAGATCCCTGCCCACTCTGCTATTATTGCTGTACTTTCCATCACATTGTAGCATTGCATGTAGAAATGGAAATTAGAGCACGTTTGAGCTTTGATGGTCTCCTTGCTGTTTACCTCAGGTAGGGCATTATAAGGATAATAGAAGTAAATATTGCACTTATCTGTGAAGAGAAGTCTTGTGAGTGTTCCTTCACACAGCACAGTGTATTTCAAAATTCAAATTAGGAACATTGCCCAGTACTGAAATGTGGCTACTACTAAAGAAAACAGCAAGACTTCTTGACTATGGGCAGAAATCTTGGGCAACAGAGAGTTAGAGCTGCAGGAGGATTTGTGTTTGCTCAGAGGGAGGCAGATATTTCTCTTTCTAACAATATCTGATAAGGAATCTGTGATACATTTTTTTTTTCTTAGAAATCTGTGCGTAACAGTGCATCTCAGGAGAGATTGGAAGAGATGGACCTCAACAAGGCCAAGATTGAGCACAGAAGGCACCAAGAGGAAGAGAGGCAGTTGAAGAGGCAGCAGCAGCAAGAGGCAGATGCTGTCCGACGTCAGCTGCGCAGGAACAACCAGAGGTAATAAACCACAGCCAACTGGTTTGTTTTTGGAAATAAATATCAAATGGTTGACAATGCCCACTCCTTGCATTCTCATTCAGTCTCCGAACATGGCATGTTATGCTAGTCCCTGCAGAGTGCTCAGGGAGATTCATTAATGGGAATGAATTGGTGCATGAGTGAGTAGGTGCAAACCAGCTGTAGCCTTTAGCATTACCTTGAGGGCAAATTCCCTTTGGTCTCATCCTCAGAGCTGGAGTCCTTTTGCCTCCTCTACCCCCTGCCCTTACACTTAGCAGGTCCTTGCCCCCACAGCCTATTTCTTTCCATCTCTTTTGTTGCTCCTGTGGCACCACCAGCAATACATAAAGCTACCTAGCTGCCTGGCTTTTCCCTACAGTTTGGTCCCTACAGCCTGTTTCCTTCACTCCTGGTCTTCAGGGCCAAGAGCGCACATCCCTACCAGGTCATGCATTCATGTGAATGTGACTGCAGTTAGCTGATAACATCAGGCACCAGCCCATTTGGGGAGTTTGCTGCCTCTGTTTAGGATACAGGTTTAACCTTCATAACTTAACAAAGAGTCCTGGCATATTTAAATCATAGAATAGTTGAGGTTGGAGAAAACTTTAAAGCTTATCTAGTTCCAATTCCCTGCCATGGGCAGGGCTACACCCAGCAGTTCAGGCTGCCCAGGGCCCTATCCAGCCTGGCCCTGAGCACCTCCAGGGATGGGGCACCGCAGTTTCTCTGGGCAGCTGTGCCAACACTTCACCACCCTCTTAGTAAAAATTTCTTCCTACCATCTAACCTTACCCTCCCCTCTTTCAGGAATGCCTTTGTCCTATCAATATCAGACTGTATTAAAAAAAAATCGGTCCACTCCTGCTTACAATCTCCCTTCACGTACTGGAAGGCTGCAATGAGGTCTCCTGAGACCCTCTTCTTCTCCAGTCTGAATAAGTCCAATTCCTTCAACTTTCTCCATAAGAGAAGTGCTTCAGCCCTCTGAACATCTTCATGGTCCTCCTCTGGACCTGCTCCAGTGGCTCCATGTCCTTCTCATGCTGGGGGTGCTTCAGATTGGGCCTACCAAGGCAGAGAAAGGGGGGAGGGGGGGAACACGATTACTTCTCTCTACTGGCCAGAATGTGTGCTTAAAATCTTATGCACTTTTTCTTTAGTTGCTTTTATTTTCTGAGAAATTTTGTTTTGTAAACAGGCAGCGATTGTATCAGAGAACTTTGCAAGGGTTGGAGAAACAGCTGGAGCACAAAAACAGAGCTTTGCTGCACATGGCGCTGCTGCAAACTGCTCAGTCAGAGAGGAGCAAGAAGGAATCCTTCTTGGCAGAGGAGGATAACAGAAAGTTAAGTCAGAGGCTGCAGTTCCTACATGCACAGCGACTGCAGAGAGAGAATTTTCTTGCAGAACTCAATGAGCGGAGCTTTAAACAAGAAAAAGAAAGGCTGGTAAGGGAAATTTCAAGGAAGTTTTACATGTACTGTATTTCCAGCAGTAGCACCAAGTATTTATCTTTCTCTCCTGTATATCCAGTATAATTGTTCCATTTGGAGATATGTACATGAAAATTATTATTTCTTTAACGTGTATAAAGATTAAAGATAGGAATTTAATCTGTATCTGTGCTGGGAGTAGCCTTCCTGCATACAAAGAATTATCATAGAATGGTTTTGGTTGGAAAGGACCTTTAAAAATCATCTAGATCAACTTCCTGCCATGGCAGAGACGTCTCTTACTAGATCAGGTTGCTCGAAGCACCATCCAATCCCACCTTGATTACTTCTAAAGATGGGGAATCCACAATTTCCCTGGGCAGCCTGTGCCACTGTCCCCAGGCCTGGATGCAGTGCTGCAGATTGGGCCTCACGAGGGCAGTGTAGATAAGGACAATCACCTCCCTCCCCCTGCTGCCACCCATCTTTTGATGCAGCCCATGACACAGTTGGCTTCCCAGGCTGCAATCAGGCAGCGCTGGCTCACGCCCAATTTTTATTCCATCGGTGTTGCCAAGTCCTCTGTAGAGCTGCTGTCAGTCTGTTCAGCCTTCAGTTTCTACTTATGGGATTGCCCTGACACAAGTGCAGCACCTTGTATTTGGACTTGAACTTCATGAGGTGCACATCAGCCTACCTTCTGAGCCCATCCAGATCCCTCTGAAGTATCAGCTGACCAATCAGCTTGATTTCATCCACAGACTTGCTGACCCCCTATGTCATTCATAAATAGAAATGAATCAATGAATCAATTATGCCATTATTCCAGTGATAACTGGGGGTGAAATTCAGACTTAAAGCTGGCTGCGCAATTGCAAGTGTCATTTTTTTTAATGTAGGATTTTTTGAGGAACAGAATGCAGTCACGGCAGGCAGTGCTGACACAAGACTTAGAGGAGCAGGACAGGCAACAAAAGCATCACCAGGCTGCCAAAAGGAAAGTGTTCCAGAACAGAGATCGTTTACATGAGAAGATGCAAAAAGAAGAACAAAGACACTGTGACCTCCAGCAATACCTCAGAGAACAGAATCTTTTGATGTTCCGAGCATCACTACTAGAGTAAGGAAACTGCAGTGGGTAAGCAGGCACTTGATCAGTTCACAAGTGTGTGTGAGTGTGTGTGTGAGTGTGCTGCACTTTGGGTGCAAGAATGCAGTTGTGACAAATACAACTCTTGGAGAAATCATGTATCTCCCTTCCATTGCAGCCAGCATGTGTTTTTGCTGCTCTGTCCCTTACCAGTCTTTCTTCCTGGAGTAACTGCTCTGGTCCAGCTGCCTGTGGCATAGGCTCTCATCTTGGTCAGACTGTTGTTCAGTTTTAGGCATAGGCAACAACACCACTGAAGTCTCATCTCTGCAGCCAAAAGCCATGGTGGTATTTAATAGTTAGAGTGCTGCCATCCTGCCCTAAAGGCATCTGAAAAGGGCCAGCTTTGTAGGAGCCCACAGAGTCAGCATCTGTGCTGTTTAGTTTTGTAGTCTAGGACTGATGACAGTGCCATGGGACAATACAGAGTAGAGCTACGAAAGAGCTGGAAGTTGGCAGAGGGATGTCGGGTTGTAACTGCTTTCAAGATGCAAATGACAGAGAAAGGAATTTCTCTAGTGAGAGCACAGGCCACACAATTTACTAAGTGAAAAACACAAAAGTCAGAAGGAGCTCCCTGGGAATGATTCTCTCAAGTGGTAGAAAACACAGATACAGGTTATGTCCTGCTATAGCAGCTTGCAGGGGAATTAAATACAAGCGTGGAGAGGCTTCCACTGCTGACTTCTGGACACTTTTTGCCCTCCTGCGTTTCTTCCAGAACAGGACCGGGAGAGCACATTTCTTAAAGGTCGAGGACAACATTAAATAGTAAGTAAAGCCACGTGATGCTGTCATGTGACTTACCTTGCAATCTTAGTGTTACATGACCTACAGGGAAGGAGAACTTGGAGACCAGTTGATTGGGAAAAAAAAAAAAAAGTGCAGCAACGTAAATGTACATGCTGAAATACAGCATCAATTGTCCATTGCTATTTCCATTATTGCAGCTGACACTTGCAAGTGTCCCACTGCATCTGATTTGCAGAGATCCATAGGAAAGAGGTCCATACATATGATGAAGTTGGGTTACGTCCAACAACTGCTGTAGGTCCAGAACTGCTGTAGGAGGCAGGGCAGGAATCCAGTAATGTGAGATCTGCTCCCAAAAACCTGGTAAGGCAGCTTGGAACCATCCAGCTTGGGCTGCAAGTGAGTGTAGATCCTTCCACTGTCAGTATTCTTCAGAAAATGTAGGTCACTTCCCTAGAGGAAGAGTGACTTAGAGTGTGTGTGTGTGTGTGTGTGTGTAGGAGAGAAGACACAGTTTCTAGGCATTATAGTGACAAAAATGTTAATTTTCTGAAATACCTGTCTTTGGAGAATCACCAAACCCAGTGGTGGGCAAGGGATTCTATTTTGCTATTATCTCATTTTTTTGGTCTGCTTGTCTCCAAAAGCTGGAAATCTTATGTCAGAAAGATAGGCATATCTATGCAGGTAGGGCACAGGATCAGAATAAATAGGCTACACCACAAATAAGTGAGAAGGATGCTACAAAATGGTAAATTGAAAAATGAGTGAACAAATCGTGTAAGAAACCAGGATAGCCAGCAGCATTACACAAGTTTCCCCATTCCCACTGCAGGGTAAAACAGAGTTACCACCTGGAGCCCAAGATGTAACTTGCTCCTGTTGGCCCCTGTTCAAGTGCATTGCTCACTTCTGATACTGAGGCATGTGGTGTCAGATGCTCCCATGGATAAGCTGCCATCTTTTTCCCTCTCCAGGACAGAAAAAATAAGGCATACCGAGAGATGCTGTTACACAACATTAAGGAGAGATGAGTTTAATGATTGTGATCTGATCAGTAGCAGTGCCTTCATTCACAAAAGGGATGAGAAAGTTACAGTTGTCACCATATAAAATGCAGGTGTCAAATACAGGTGTCACAGAATGCCATTATCATCAGCTTTGGGCAGTGAAATGATTTAATTCAAATGGGTATTTAGGAAACGAGAATGAGTGCCCCAGCAAACTGTACCACGTCCAACAATGAAGGGACTTCTTATTTTTCATAAAGGTGTGCTAAGATCTAAAGTAATGGGAATAAAATACATGAGATACCTTGTTTTATGTAGCACCCAGAGCCAAAGTGGATACGAAACTGAGGTGCTGCAGCTTGGAAACACGCAACGCACTTTCTGGAATATCACTCAGCCAAGAGCACAGGTATTAGAAAAATTCATCCCTGTTACAGGAATACATTTTCAGTTATAGTAGTTTCTAAAAATAAAAAGGTTAAGAAGTCCCCTTTGCGAGTTCTTTTCTGAAATTCTGCTTAATCTGTTGCACGGCCAACAGTTTCTTAGCATTAAGTTTTGGACTGTGTTCCTGCAGAGCTAACTGAGGGGTATGTGCTTTGCTTTCCCCCACAGAATGAAGGCTAAGGCATCCAGGTGGTTACAAACTATTCTGATGTCTTCATAGCTAAAAGGAGTATTTGTTACTTCAGGATCCATAATAAGCATGAGGGTTATGTGTTTAAAAAATGCAGCAGGAAACAAAGATAAACCTAAATATAAGGTATAGGTTTTGACTTTCTGTTTTTTTTTTTTTTTAATTAAGTTGTTAAACCATTTGGTTTAGGCTCTATTTCACCTCAGGATAAAGTTGGCTGATATTTGCTGTTGGTGCAAATGTGGGTGGTTGTGCCTACGAGCTGTATAACAGATGGGGATTGAGCCCAGGCTGCAGTGCTGTGCGTGGCACCCGCTGGGTACAGACACACAGTAGGGCACACACACTACTGGGTGCTGGCAGCACATGGAGATTATCTTCAGTGTAAAGTTCAGAGGTTGCTTGCTCTGCTTTTTTTTTTAATATAGACAGAGTTATTTACTCAAAATCATGCACTATTTAGGACAGTAACATACTTCGTTTTGAGTCTGAGCCTGCTTAGACTCAAGCAGAAAGTTTGAAAGCTACCATTAAACTCTGCTGCTGCTTTTTATCCTCAAACATTTGGAAATGGAGTATTTCATGATGGAAGCGCATGAAATACACTGAGCAGAACTCTAAATTAATTTTTCAGACTTCATTTATGTATCATTAATCATCGTTTTATAATCACCATTAAACAGATCATCTGCATATGTGCTTTCTCTTCATTGCTTAACCAGCTGAGAACAGGCAACTGCACAGAGCCGTGTGTGGCTGCAATTGCACATGAAGCCTATCTGGAAATACATTTAGCATGACAGTATTTCCAATCATTCATAGGCTACGTATCTTACCATAAAAATAAGGCCATAAAATAACATTAAGAGTTTTATTAAAATAACGGACTGTAAAAGCTATATGATGTAGCTCATTTGTTGGCTGAAATTTGATTTAAACATTCACAGTGTTTTCCATCCTTTAGGAAAATATTTGGACTCCTTGTTTTGCAAACTGCCCAAGGAGAAAAACCACACCTCTATGGATGAGTTAAGGCTGTGAGTTGCATAGGGTGAGGGCTGGGAGGCAGGGAAGGACAGCACAGCAAGGAGAAAGCCTTCCTAAGCCTTTTTTAAAGCTTCAACGAAAACTGAGACCAGTACAAGTATTCCCAAAAGTTGTTTTTATTATGGAATTAGTTTTTCTGCCATACATACATGATTGTACAGTATAGTTTAAAAAAAAAAAAAAAAAAATCAATATACTGGTCTGTTTTTATCATCCAAAATGACCAAGAACAGGAACTCAGGGCAATTCTACAATCAGAGTAGAAGTACAAAAGACAAAAAGGCTTACTGGCTTTTTTCAGCCTGAATTACTTGCTTAGGTGGCATCAGAACGTCATTTTTTTATACCATATTGAGAGATCAGCCAGCAAATTAATATTTAACTCAATTCATTTCAAAACAAATTTGATCACTGAACATCTTATTAAAGACTTTTAGACAATTAAGACTGGTTTCCTCATCAGCCCACAGTGATCTTTTACACACAGGCTACATGACATGTCAGTTAAAAACTACCAGAGCATATTAGCTCATAGAACCACATAATTGTAAGAGTCAGAACTCTCCATCTGTGCAAAATCTTCCTGGAAAAGGCTTCTGAAACAGACCTTTTCAGACCTCACGAAGATCCCATGCCTGCTGCTTAGCTGACAGGGTTCCAGGCAGAGTATGGAGGGTTACCACCACGTGGCATTCCTCCATGACGCGTGGAACTGCTCTCACCTTCAGCTTCCTCCTGTCAGCTCACAGGCACCACAGGTAACCCTGCACCATGAGAGGGCAGCAGCCACGAGTGTCTATTCCAGGACAGAAGCTGCAGTTCTGATGAGCAGTGGTTTAGCTGCCTCTAGAATGTCCAGTTCAGGGTCCAGTGAACGACCAAGACCTTCCAGAACCATGATGGCAAAGATGATGGAAGCAAAATTGCTCTCGAGCTTCACCTAGAAGCACAAGAGACAGCAGACCTTCTGAGCTCATTTCACACAGGTATGAGCTCTGGCAAAGTGGGAGAGAAGCAGGGGAGAGTTTAAGCAGGTACAAAAACAAGAACATAGTTTCAGGGGAAGCACCCTCAGACAACGCAAAAATTTATTTCTCGTTTCTGTGTAATCTTCCATACTAGAGCAGCAGAAGGTTAGGATTACTCACTACTGCTAATGGGGCTTTAAACCATGGCAGTATCCAACCTGCTTGAACACAAGCAGTTAGGTAAGGGGCAGCTCGCCTTTTGAAGGGCCACAAAAGAGCTCTAGATTCTAGAGAGGAAACAGCCCCCTGCTCTGCCTGTATACAAACAGTTCCCAGCCAGGTGCTACCACTGCATGAAGGTACACCAGGGCACAAAGAAATCATAGTCACAGTCCCCCTCCTCATCAGTCCCTTGCAATCCCAGTACTTCTCCCTCCCCAGGGAACTTCCAGCTGTTGAAAGCAGATTGTAACAGCTCCTCACCTTATGTGTCATCAGTAATTTAAAGACACTGGAGAGGAGATTTGCCACCTGGAGCTGGAATACAAAAGGAAAAATTAACGGCTGTTCAGAGTACCCCTGTTCAAGACAACTGAGCCACATCCATGACAGGTAGGATTCAAAGTGTTGTTAGCCCTTGCTACTAGTGGTGGGACAAGACTACTGGGCTGAAGATGGCAAACAAGATGTGATCTTTTCCACCCTACCCAGTATAAGGAGTTCAGCTCTGACCTGTGGACCTATGTGTTTATTTGCCAGCCCAGTAAGGCTGAAAACCTTACAGCAATACACGGTAAGCATTAATTTCCTCAATACCTCTGTACTACATTCTATAAAGTGCCAGGCTGGCCTTTACCAAAAGAAAACAAGCTGTAACATCAGGTTTACACAGAATCACACACAGTTTAGTGACTCCTCACAGAGGACTGAACATGTTAGAGATCTAAAGAACAGAATTAAACACACATGGTTTCATTCTTAGAGGGAATTAGGAAGAGATTTTAGAGACTTAAACTTCATCTGAGACACTAAAAGCTCCAAGTAGTGCATGGTGCTGATGGGATCACAGCTGGCCTTTCCACCTGGACCACTTTAAAAGCCAAGCTGCACTGAAATACAGCTACAGGAGGGTGGGATATGGTTTGTGGACTTGCCTTTCCTAGGGCAATGGTGTTCCTTCGAACTTTGGTCACTAGTTCTGCCATTTCAGCTTTGAATCGCTCAATATCCTGGCACTGGTTGGCCCGAGCATGGTGAAGAATCAGTTCTGCCACTTTCTCCCCCTGTGAAACAAATGGAAAAGAACAATCAGCGGAACTAGATCACTGTTACCAGCTGGTCTGGAGCTGGAAATCATACCTGAAAGACATCTGCTGCAAAGGTTCCTGGAGGAGGCATTTTGCAGGGAGAACTCCCAGGGCTACGCTCTCCCATTCCAGCAAGACACCCAAGCAACCAACAGAAGCCAGGTGCAGAAAGAGCAGAATTAGGCCAAAATTTCTAATGAATATCTGGCAGAACCTTGCTCTGTTTTTCTTGTAGGGGAAGATATAACAAAGATCATCTCTCAGTCAGAAGTTTCAAGGAGAAAAAGAAAGCCAGAGGCCCCAGGTTTGGCAATGAGATTTGGTGTACAAGTTTTTTCACCTGCATATTGTTTAATACATCCAACGTGAGGCACAAGGGATGGGTAATTAAATGATCACAGCTTCAGCTTAGTGGCTAAGAAGTCTGGCAGCACAGGACGGGCATGAATGCTTGGGTTCTAGCACCAGCTCCTGGCTATGCCTCTGTAGATAAATAAACTGAGGTAAAACCTGTCCCTCCTATCCACTGGTAAGCCATCCAACCCAGAGCTGAGAAACAGCAGTATGCCATTATGCTTTATCACAAAATGAACAGGACACATCAGCACTGGATTCTCTAGCCCATCTGAGAGTGTATTTCAAATAAGTGAGACAAATCCCAGTTAAAATCCCAGTCAGAAGTGCAGTGCCCCAATGAGAGGCAGCTCTGATACAGCACAGGTAGAGCCAGGAAGGATGGTGGAATCCAACCATACGTACAAAGGCAGCCCTTAAGGAGCGCAAGCAACCAGGAACACGGTGCCCAGGATGGACAAACAGGGCATGGTGCAGCAGTTTGCACATCAGTTCACACAGGCAGGGTGAGCAGGGAGGGCAAGCACTCTGTAGGCTGCAGAGGTAAGGTCTGTAGGTGGTTTCATGGTCTAAATGCAGGATTAGCACCTACTGAGAATAGAGAGCCCAGTCATGGTATCCACCTGACAGAGACAGACTATCTGCACTCATCAAAAAGGATGTCAAAACCCAGGCTGAACTCCGAGGCAAACATTCAGCCATCCAGGCTTCCAGCTGCACAGAGTACCTGAGCCTTTCTCTGGCACCATGTGGCAGAGGTGAAAACAGTTGTGTGAGATGCGTGTGAACGATCTGCTCAGCCTCACAGCAAGGCTGCAAGATGAAATACATAGGTTGAAGTGTGTTTTGAGGGCAGGAAAAAAAAAAGTTTTACTGCACAAGAAAGCACAAGATTTGTGGCAGCATGTATCCCCTCACTGCCAGCCTGAAGACAAGAACTTAAATGAGAAGAGAGAATGGAAGCAAGTCCATGCCCACTCTGCTCCCCCAGGTGCCTTCATACAATAGGTATGAGGCTGTGGGGGTGGAATGCCTGTCTGTGAACGATAACAGCCCACCTACACTAAAGGAGCCAACAAAACCAAAACTAGAAAAGCCTGCCTTCCCCCAGTATCAAGGCTACATCCTCAAAAAAGAGACAGGTATTAGTTGTAGGTGACTCCTCCCTGCAGGGAACTGAATG